CACACGTCATTGAGCGACATGTTCCCTTCCATGTATCACAAACCAATTCTAATTCTATATTGTTCTTTTATATTGAGAAGAACCTTAATTCTCAAAATACTCATGTTATCTATAAACCGTAAATGTGTACACATACTTTAATGATAACGTCTTTAATTAAAAGAAACATAACTTTTAGTGAATTCATAGTGTCACTCACATAATAAGCATTCTATAATCAAAACAGCAAAGACTTATCGATAACACCCATACGCTCTACATGGCCAACGAACGCCATGGGTGCTAATCCCTTGGTTAACGGATCTGCGACCATCATCTCCGTCCTTATATGCTCAAAAGACACTCTATGTTTCTTAACTTCTTCTTTGACAGACAAATACTTTATCTCCATGTGTTTAGCACCTTTCGAGTACTTGTCATTCTTTGAAAAGAAGACAGCTGCAGAATTATCACAGTAAATTCTCAGCGGCTTCTCTATGGTGTCGACAATTCGAAGCCCTGAGATAAAGTTCCGCAACCACAACGCGTGAACTGTGGCCTCAAAGCATGCCACAAATTCAGCCTCCATAGTGGAAGAAGCAATAATAGACTGCTTCCCACTTTTCCACGATATTGCTCCTCCAGCTAATAGGAACAAATATCCAAACGTCGATTTTCTGCTATCAACGCATCCGGCATAGTCTGAATCTGTATATCCAATAACCTCAAGATGATCAGATCTCCTGTATGTAAGCATGAGCTCTTTGGTGCCTTGCAAGTACCTGAGGACCTTCTTCGCAGCTTTCCAGTGGTCCATTCCGGGATTACTTTGATATCGACCCAACATACCAACAGCAAAGGTGATATCTGGCCGAGTACATGTCTGAACATAGTTCAAACTCCCAACCACTGATGCATAGGGAATTCTTTCCATTCCTTTACGTTCTAATTCATTTCTTGGACATTGCATTTTACTGAATTTGTCCCCTTTCTGAATTGGAACTATACCAGCAGAGCATTCACTCATTCTATACCTCTCTAAGATCTTATTGATATATCCTTTCTGAGACAAACTTAACAATCCTTGTGATCTGTCTCGAATAATTTCTATTCCGATCACATAAGATGCCTCACCCATATCTTTCATTTCAAAGTTCTTAGAGAGATATTTCTTTATATCATGTAACATTCCCATATCATTAGCAGCAAGCAAAATATCATCAACATATAAGACTAAAATAGCAAACTTACTCCCACTAACTTTCATGTAGATACATCGGTCAACGATAACCTCTACAAAACCATATGACGTAATGGTATCATTAAATTTCAAATACCACTGTCTGGAAGCTTGTTTTAGCCCATATATTGACTTTTTCAGCTTACACACCAGATGTTCATTTCCTGTGGTCACAAACCCTTCAGGTTGATCCATATATACTTCCTCCTCAAGCTCTCCATTTAGAAAGGCGGTTTTCACATCCATTTGGTGAAGCTCTAAATCGTAATGAGCCACCAAACCCACAACAATTCTTAGAGAATCTTTCTTTGAAACTGGAGAGAAAGTCTCTTTATAGTCAATGCCATCTTTTTGGGTGAAACCTTTAGCAACAAGGCGAGCCTTGTATCTTTCAACGTTACCTTTCGAGTCACGTTTAGTCTTAAAGACCCATTTCGAACCAACGGTTTTGAAACCGTTCGGTAACTCTACTAAGTCCCAAACATTGTTATCACCCATAGATTTTATTTCTTCTTTCGCAGCATTAAACCATTTTTCAGAATTGTCACCTTCCATGGCTTTTCGGAATGTGTTCGGGTCTTCATCAATGCTTAAGTCACATTCACTTTCAACAGCATAAACCACATAGTCATTTGAAATGGCAGACCTACGTTGCCTTCCAGATCGCCTTAATGGTTCTTGTGGTACACCATTTCCTTCTTGAATAGTGACAGATTCACTGTTTGTCCCTTCATCTAGTGGGGTTGGTACATCATCATGTCGTTCTATTGTGTCATTTGACTGTAGTGAAACAATAGGAACAACAACCTCAGGTGTAACAACAGGTGAAGAAACTTCAACCTGGACTTCTTTAATGTCCACCTTTCTTGGTTCACCACTCCCACTAGTTTGACCATTTTCAATGAATCTAGCATTTCCCGTTTCAACTATTCTCGTACTATGCTTAGGACAGTAAAATACATACCCCTTTGATTTTTCTGGATAGCCAATGAAGAAGCCACTGACAGTCCTAGAATCAAGTTTCTTTTCATGTGGATTATATGGCTTTACTTCTGCTGGACATCCCCAAACACGTAAATGTCTTAAACTAGGTTTCCTTCCCGTCCACAGCTCAAAAGGAGTCTTAGGAACTGCCTTACTAGGAACCCGGTTCAAGACATACGTTGCAGTCTTTAATGCATATATCCACAATGAAAGGGGTAAAGAACTATTACTTAACATGCTCCTAACCATTCCCATTAAAGTACGATTCCGCCTCTCAGCTACACCATTCTGCTGAGGAGTACCAGGCATTGTATATTGTGCACAAATGCCTCTACTTTCAAGTAGCTTTGCAAATGGACCAGGACATTGTCCACTCTCAGTGAATTTTCCATAAAACTCACCACCTCTATCAGATCTCACTACCTTCACTTTTCTATCTAATTGCCTTTCCACCTCATTAATGAATATCTCTAGGATATTCACAGACTGAGATTTTTCATGCAACAGATAAGTATAACCATAACGTGAGTAATCATCAATAAAAGTGATAAAGTATTTTTCACCGCTCCAAGACGGAGCATCAAATGGACCACAAATATCAGTGTGAATTAACTCAAGAAGTTGAGTACCTCTTGTGGCTGGTTTCTTTACTGTATGTTTGGTATGCTTTCCTTTAATGCATTCCACACACACATCTAGATCACTAAAATCCAATTGAGGAAGAATTTCATTCTTTACCAACCTCATAATTCTTTCTTTGGATATATGACCTAATCTTTGATGCCACAAGAAAGCTGAACTTTCATTAGATGCACTACGCTTAATGCCTTGACTTTCAATATTAAACAAGGATTCTGAAAACTTTTCATCAAGATTGAACCGATAAAGCGAATCAAACAAAATACCACTTCCATAAAGGTTATCATTCAGGTACAATGAGAAAACACCATGTCCAATCCTAAAATTAAAACCTAAATCATCCAACCTACTTACAGAAACAAGATTTCTAGCACACTCAGATACATAGAGACACCCTTCAAGATCTACATGACATCCAGTGTCCAAGATCAACCTATAAGTCCCAATGCCTTCAATTCGTGCCTTCATTCTGTTTCCCATGAACAAGAATTGTTCAGGTCCTCTTATGGGTTGAATCGAACTGAATCCCTGTTTAATATGTGACACATGAGTAGTAGCACCAGTATCTAACCACCAAGTATTTTTAGGCACTTCAACAAGGTTCAATTCAGAGCAAACATAAATATGTTGCGTACCTTTCTTGTCGAACCAAGCCTTTCTTTTCGGACAATCTTTCTTGAAGTGTCCCACCTTCTTGCAGAAGAAACACTTCTTTTCCTTATGGATCTGACTTTCGGGTCCTTTCATGAAAGCTTTATCCTTTGCCTTGCCATGCTTACTTGGTTTTCCTTTAGTGCTGCTAACGTTTCCAAAACCCACAAGATTGGCAACATGATCCTTCATTTTCTTAATTCTCCCTTCCTCCTGAACCAACATAGCCTTTAATTCCTTAAAGTTCCATTTATCTTTGATGGTGTTGTAATTCACCTGGAACTGGCTAAACTCAAAAGGTAGAGAGTTCATAATGAACTGGACCAAGAAATTCTCATGAACTTCCATTCCCAAGGTTGACAACCTTGCTGCCAAGTTAGACATGTGGGTCACATGATCATGAATTGGCTGAGACCAGTCAAACTTTTTCGTAGTAAGCTCATTCATGAGACTCCCTACAACCGACTTGTCAGCCAAATCTGATTGTGAACACTCTTTAATTTTCTGTATGAACTCCCTTGCTTTCTCTGTCTTAGGCATAGTTGGCTTAACACTTTCTGCCATTGTCATCCTCATGAGGTTCATACTCAGCCTGTTAGATCGCTCCCAAGTCTCGTAACGAGATTTTTCATTTTCGGAGCTCTCAACTGTAATGGCTGGAGGTTCCTCATCCGTTAGTATTGCAGAGTCCAAAGACATTACACCCAATGCAAAACGGATCTGTTCTGACCATTCACCATAATTCAGCCCATTGAACTTCACGACAGAGTTAGCAGATGCATACAAATTTGATGAAGCTGCAAACATTTAAACATGCTTACCTATTAGTGCTTTGATTCTTTTATACAGACTCTTAAGGCCTAGCTTAACTCTAAAGCATGAATTTAAATAACCTTTGGGCAATATTTAAACACATGCATATTTAATGATGCTAAATTTTTATACTTTTATAATCAATCAAATTACACATATAAATCAAATAAACATGTTACCTTTGGGTATACATATTACTGACTATATAAAAAATGATTAATTCTTTCATATTATTAACTATGTATTCAATGATCCACCTTTGGGTGATCTACAAAATATATAGATAATAAAATAATTGATCAATCAATCCTACATGTCATTTAGCATCTCTTTTTCTAATGTGTATGTGTAATATAACAAGGTCACTTTGGTGACTAACAAGTTATATACAATATAAACACTAAAAACTTTAATAGGTAAATTTATCTTTATATTATGTTAATATTTCATAACATAATTACCCAATTTTAATTTAATGCACAGCGGATGCAATTTAAAACTAAACCAGACATTTCACTTAATCAACCTAAACCAACAGTTTAAGCCATATTCTTTAACAATGAACGCTTTTATTCATATGCCATAAACGATCAATTCCCAGAACATGTATATGCAACTTTAACAATGATTCATTTATTAGAAACAGAATCTAATTAGAACAATTATTTCAATCATCAAATGCATTTACGTGAATGATCAAAACACCACTAACCATCAATTCTATGATTCCATCTACGACACTTACATGCACACACAATAATAAAAAAACTGTTCATTATTGCAACAGAATCTAACCATTGAATTTCAACCTTAATAATTCCACATGTTCCCAACAATAAAAGGTTACGATCATGGTGACGAACAAAAGTTACGATCATGCAACAAAATTCCAGAACTGTTTATAAACCTTTTAACATGCGTTGACAGTGATGAACGAACATGGTAAATTAATAAATCTAGATCTGCTCTGCTACCAAATATTAATCTAACTTTATGATTTCTATCATGAAATCTAAATCCCAAAGATCATCTAGATTTAATTTAATTCAACCATGAACAGTTTCTTATGAAAGAAGAAACACTAACCTTGATCCATTGCTTGATTGGGTTTGATGATGGATTCAAGTCTTCTTCACAGATTGATTTCTTCTTCCCTTACTCCTTATTGCTTTCCTGTGATCTTTGATGAAGAAGATCACTAATCTCTTTTGTTGTTTTTAATCAGTGGTGTTTTCCCTCTCAATGAGAACAACGACCGTAGAGAGTCACTTTTCAACACCACACATATATATACATGTATATTGCATCTTTCCAGAGAGTTGTGTTGGTTTATAATAACCACCTCTTTAATAATGCATAAATATAATATATACAATAATATATATGACTTATATAATATAGTTAAGGCAAGGGAAGAGGGTTATCAATACACCCGAATTCTAATTCATTAATCGAAACCGATTCATCACGGTGTCGTCCCTAATATTAGAATCCATAAGATTAATATGAATTTGAACTTCATAAATAAACCAGAAGACACACAAGCCACACTTAATATAAAATATTCTTACAGGATTTGGCAACTTCACGATTCTAGCTACAATAAGTATATATATATATATATATATATATATATATATATTTTTTTTTTTTTAAGTTGTAAATCTAGAATTTGGGAGTATCTATAGAAAAAATGGTAGAATTTGCGTAACATATCATACTTTTTAACCTGGTAAAGTAGAGAGGCTCAACAACTTCTTCAAATTGAAACATATATATCTAAGCTTTCAATAAGCCCTAGTCCACTACCTCCAACTCAAAACCATCCTTTAAAATATAATCATTTATCACACTCTTTTTAGACCATATATATATATATATAATTGTTAAGCGTTCTCTTCTGTTTTTCTTTTGTGTTGGCATATATAGAGTTATATATATATGTCTCAGCTCTCTCCCTACTATAGTCTTCTTATCTTGACTTTTAAGAGTCGTTGAATCCAAAACTCGTATTATTTATAAAGTCATAAGTCTTTCATATTATATTGTGGTCCAGTCCAGTCTTCTTAGGCAGATATGGCCTTCACGGGAGTTGCTTAAAACCACATTTTTAGAAAAAAACCAATCTCTTTACTTGTACGGTACTTTTCTTTCGGTTGATGAAATGAAACTTCTAGTTGTAGAAGATAATAATATCCAAACCCTTTTTTTTTTTCTAATCAAACCATAATTAAAAATACCACAAAAAAACGTGTTAAAGTTTTTGCCATAATAATAAATTTCTAACTATGGTCGTATTCGAACACCTATTCATCTATTAGAAAAAGAAAAAAGGAGGAAGAAGGGTGGTGAAGCACCAAAAACGACGACGTTTACATCCTTTCTCTAGTTCTCCCACATCAAGAGAATCGGTTTTGGCTTTCATCAGCCGCTTCGTGTTTTCCTTCTTCTTCAATAACGGAAAAAATGGTTTCCGACTTGGACATCGTGACCCGTCTCCGTGAGATTCTCGGTAGCTCCGACCTTGACACGGCGACTCCGGCTACCGTCCGTCGTCAGCTGGAGGCGGATTTCGGTGTCGACTTTACTGATAAGAAGGCTTTCATTAGGGATCAAATCGATGCTTTTCTCGAGAGCAATGGCTCTGTAGAAGAAGAGAGCCTTAAGGCAGAAGAAGAAGAAGAAGAAGACATTAATGCCGCCGACGAAATCAAGGCGGTAATTGAAGACGGAAATGGAAGTGAAAGTGAGGAAGAGAAGGAGGAACGGTAATTTCTCTTTTAGTGATTGTGGTTGGTTTCTGTGAAATGGGATTATTTGAATTCCATTATCAATGAATCGATGATCATACACACACTTAAAAAAATTGAGTCTTTATAGGAATCCTTTGCATTTCCCGAACTAATCAAAATGTGTTTCAAATGCATTTCTAATCAGAGACCGAGTTCTGGTTTTTAATTCCAATTGGAGAGATTTATATATGTTCAATATTGTGTGTTTGATGTGTTAGGCCAGTAAAGGCCAAGAAACGAGGAGGTGGCTTTACTAAAGTATGCCAGCTCTCTCCACAACTTGAGAAGCTTGTTGGAACATCTCAGTTAGCTCGAACCGAGGTAATTGTCATATTCTCTGAGGAAATGTTCTGCGCATGTTTTGGGTGGAGTGTCATTCTTTTGTGTTGTGTTTGTTATCAGGTTGTGAAGAAAATATGGGCCTATATCAAAGGGAAGGGTTTGCAAGACCCAAAGGACAGGAGGAAGATAGTGTGTGATGAGTTGCTTCATTCCTTGTTCCGTGTCAAGACCATTAATATGTTTCAAATGAACAAGGCATTAACGAAGCATATTTGGCCCTTAGGCGATGGAGATGGTAATGTCCTTGTCATTGTTATACTGCATTTTCAATTGTCTGGAATTAAGTACCCCGCTGTAGAGAGTGATTATGTTGAAAGAATGTCATGAACTGATAATACTTTGGTTTTCTAGTGTTGAATAATAGTAATTTCCCCCCAGCGTTGTGTTGTTAAGATGCTTATATATTTGTGCAAGAGACCAATTTGTTTCGTAAGACGGTGTTATATATTTCCTGAGTACTTTGGGTTGGAGACAGCAGTTTCTGAGTTTGTGTTACTCAAGTGCAATGAAATGATTTTTTATTCTCTCCAGGGTGTGCTAACAATGTCAAAGAAGAAGATGAAGATGAAGATGACGATGAGGCATCAGAGGGAACTGACAAGAAAGGGGAGCAAAACGAAGAAGTGGAAGAGAACAAGGAAGAAGAAAATGAAGATGAGGAAGTTAGGAGTTTGCGGAAACGCAAGAGAAAAAAGTTAGTTTCTCTTTCTCACGCAATTTTTGTATTGTCCAGCTAGTTATTGCCACCCTTATAATGCCCATAGATTAAGATTTCTCTATCTAATAGGCCAGCCAAGTCAGTAGAGAAGCCCAAGAGAAAAGGAGGAGGTGGCTTCGCTAAAGTTTGCAGCCTCTCGCCGGAGCTTCAGGCGTTTACTGGGGTGACAGAATTAGCCAGGACAGAGGTACATGTCTAGCTCAAGCACTGAGCCTAAATTTCAAAGTTACTTATCCAATTAGCTTGACCAAGTCCCTTGTTTTGACATTTTGTACTGGTGAATGGTTTCAGGTGGTGAAAATGCTTTGGAAGTATATAAAAGAGAACAATTTGCAAGATCCGAATGATGGACGCACAATAATATGTGACGAGTCATTGCTATCTCTGTTCCCTGTCGAGTCTATCAATATGTTTCAAATGAATAAACTACTAACAAAGCACATATGGCCTTTAGATAATAATGCAGGTATTTCATGACTGGAAACTTCTTTCATTTTCTTTGGGAGCCATCTTTCCCCGGTTTAGGCACTTTAATTATATACTACTAATTGTTGTTTGTCTCTGGTCTGGGAGAATCAGTTAGCCCTAACTCTCCAAAGAACGGAAAGCAAAAAATGGAATCAGATGGAGGTAAGAAAGCTAGATGAATTTCAACTTGTCCCTTTTCTCATTATGGTATAACCAACGCATATGCATTCGGTCAGACACAGATAGTGAGGAACCGAACGAGAAAGATAAAAAACTGAAGACAGAAGACCTTCCTTCCCTTCCACTTTCAGATGCTCTTGTCAAGTTCTTGGGCAATGGAGAAAGCTCTCTGTCGAGGGCGGATAGTTGATTCATTCGAAGACACATCGGTCTCAGAACATCTGACCAACCACTTCATCAAGGTTGAAGAATAACTCTTTAGGAAGTGGCAAGTTTTGATGATGTTTTCTACGTAGGCAAAACCAGTTCTCCCAAAGGTCGGTTTTGATTTCCTGGACAATTTTTTTTGGATCAGTAGAGGTCAGTTCAGGACTTGGAAACACGACAAAGCCATTGCATTGATTTAGTTCTCCTCCTCCACAGGTAAGTTAAAAGACTAAAAGGTGTATCTCGAATGTGAGAGTTGTAAGCATTGCGTTTTCTGAATTTGCTTGCAAATGCAGCCTTTTTGGAGATGTTTCAAATGTTATTCCCTTGTGGTATATAGTGACAAAAACTAGATTCAAGGATACGAGATATGTTTTAAACCCAAACCAAGTGTTTAAATCACTTCCTATTTCACAATGAAATGTTTGCTTGCCCTCTTGCCCTTTTGCCCTTTTGGCCCTTTCAAAATTGTCATGCCATCAAAATGACGAAAAGATGTGGCCTTATAAAACATGATTCTACCAAACCAAATGACAATGGTTCACACTTCAATAGCAATAAACTCAAGGTCCTTTAATATGATTGGATTCATTTAGCCAATGCAGAGAGGAGATACATGGCTCCTTTAATATGATTGGATTCATTTAGCCAATGTAGAGAGGAGATACATGGCTACTCTTTTAAAAAAAATTAAGATAAGATTAATGACGTAAAAAACAGAGTCGTGCTGATTCTCTCCTTAGTCAGAGCGATTTGAATTCCAAACTTACCATAACGACTAATTTTCTTGAACTAAACCCGTAAGCAAAATAAGTGACAAATCAAATTAAGATACCATACCATACACGACCCAATCTTCTATTTTTCAAAAATTTTAGTGCACTGGATCTCCGGATTTTTAGAGATGTGATTTGCTTAGGTAACAATTATATATTTATATACCCACTACTCCATTAGTGCTCATCACCAGTTATCATTTTGCTCCTCCTAAAAAGCCTCCGGCGAGAAATAATCAAACAAGTTAAAGCAACGGTGAGTTCTTCATTTTTTTTTACGTTCATGTAACCGTCTAGTACACTAGATCGATTCATTATAATATATACTATTGATGTCATTGTTGTTGTTTAAAATGAAAATATAAGGTTTTCGTTTATCGTCATGGGAACCGATAGAATCAGCAACCTGCCAGATTGTTTGCTGACGCATATCCTCTCGTTCCGTCCGACCAAAAAGTCAGTAAGAACAAGTGTTTTGTCCAAGAGGTGGAGATCACTCTGGCTCAATGTCCCAGGACTCGACCTGCGTCGCATTGATTACCCTCCTTATGGCCAAGTCCCTCAGGGCGCTCCGTGCTACATCAACACTTACCTGAATTTCCATCACAACAACGGACGAAGAGTCCAAACGTTCAAGGTACAGTACGACGAAAACAGTGACTATAGAGAAGATTTTGTGGGATGGATCGAAACAGTGGTTGAGCGCGGAGTCCAGAATCTAGAAGTCGATTGTCTTCTGGAACGTTCTTGGCGAGATTACATGACTGAGAGGATTTACAACAGCAACACGTTGGTGTCTTTGAAGCTTACAAACGTAGGGTTGCCGAGTTTGGATCCCGCGGTTGCTGTTTCTCTACCTTGTCTCAAGACCATGCACCTTGAGGACGTTTCGTACGATGATGATGATCCTCTGTTCATGGAGAAACTCATCTCAGGCTGTCCTGTTCTTGAAGATTTTCTCTTGGTTTTGCCTTATGACCATCATGAGGGCCACCCAAATTGGTCGGCTCTGCGTGTGAGGTCTCAGACTCTTAAGAGCTTCGTTTTCTCGTGTGATTCTCAAGACACTGATACGGTTTATACGGTTGAGATTGATGCTCCACAACTCAAGTATATGAACTTCAGTGATTATAAATCTGATGAGATTGTGTTGAAGAATCTGACTTCTCTTTCCATGATCGAGATCGGTTATGGCTTTCAATCAAAGGAGAGAAGTGTTATCCGTAATTTTCTCAAGGGTATCTCTAGTGTGAGACACATGATACTCTCTACGTCTACTCTACATGTAAGTACTTTATATATATATAAATTCTAAACAATCGAAATTAATGCTTAGTTTAATCATCCACAATATATATGCATTTACTTCTTTCTTCTTGCAGGACCTCTTTGAATATTTCAATCTGGGACGGATTCGCAAATTTAATAACTTGACTCGTTTGCAAGTTGGACTCCATAATGACATGGTAAAACTATTTCCAGCCTTTCTTGAGAGCTTCCCAAACCTGAAAAATCTCATATTGGTAAGAATCTGTTTGAATCTGTGATTTGGTTGATCAAGGAGTACACTGTTGATGTACACTGTTCTTGTCCGTTTGCAGGACCTTACTGCTGTTAAAAGCGAGACAAAGGAAATCAAACTAAGTTCCCAGAGTATGTTACTGAGTCTGGAGTGTGTTGAGATCAAATTAAAAGAGGTTACGGTGGTAGAGTCCGTGAAGACACTTGTGAGGTATTTTCTTGAGAGTTCAGTAGTTCTCAAGAAACTCATTCTGCATTTCGAAGATTCTTCAGAAGCATACGGTGTTTCTTCTAGAGCAAAGAAAGCTAGAGAAAAGAAAGTTCGAGACAAGAAAGTTTCAGATATCGTCAACGAGCTTAGTACATTCACTAAGCTTTCTCCACACTGTGAGATCACCATGATTCATTGAAAATGTCATTGAATACCTTTTTAGAAATCTTTTGTTATATATGAAAAATTTGAGTGATGCATTGAATATCCTTTTAGGAATCTTTTGTTATGAATCTTTTGGAGACATGAGTATAATGTTTGGTTTTCTACATTTTGTCTTTGAATCATTCTAATGTGTTTAGTACATAGAGTTACAAAGCCACGATATACCAACGAGTCTGTTAACCATGTCGGAACATAGAGCTATTGTTAACGAAATCTGGTAGATACGACAACTTGAATAACTATGCTTTTACTAGGGTTTCAGAATTAGCCTGGACAGGTTGTGAAACTGATTTGGGGAGCTCTGTACATATATAAAGGAGAATAATTGCAAGATCCGAATGATAGAGGCACGCAAAGTAATATGCCATTGCATTGATTTGGTCTCCTCCTTAACAGGTAAGTTAAAAAGATAAAAGGTACGTACTATCTCGAATGTTAGTAAGCATTGCGTTTTCTGCTTTGCTTGCAAGTGCAGGCTTTTTGCTCCTCTTGATTATGAACTAGAAATCTAGAATCAATGATAAGATATGTTTTGTTTTAATTTGAGACCATAATATACCAAAGATTTTTGTTCATTAATTAACAAGGGTCAATACAATTATAAATTGAAATTAGGGTTCTCTGAAAGAGAGAAAATAAATGTGTTGAAATCCTAGCATATTTTGATTTCCCTCAAAGAAGAGAAGAGAAGAGTAACTAAGCTCAAGGAGCTTGCAACCTCCCTATCTGCAAACAGTTCTTGGATCATTGTAATATAATTTAACTAGTTTTCGTTTAATGATATATATAGATCATATTGTGTCAGCTTTCTTGTTTATTTTTCAAAACATGTGCTAGATCATTTTATATATCTGTTTTTTTGTTCTTTGTTCGTTGATATATATAGCAATCAAGAGTCTTGATGTAGAACATGATAGAGTTACAACAAAAGGATATACTGAAGGAAACAGGGATGACCAATATTGTAGATATATATATTGCCGGAAGAGATGATAAGAAAGAGTCTTTCAGAATCCAAGTGCCCTAACTACTAACACTGGGTCACAACTTCTTGCAACACCACCAGCAAGATTGATGCAGCAACAACAATTAAGGCAACAAAGCTTTGTTAACCATTTGGGGTAACCACATTGAGGATTACCGCAACTACAATTTGGGCAACTAATCTCACCGCAACTACAATCTAAGTAGCAAATCTTACCGCAACAAGGATTGGGGAAACCAAGTTTGGTTTTGTTGATGATGGTAGGAAATGCTTTTTGCTGTGATCATTATTGACTTATAAGTTATAACCATGCTCCATGCAATATGTTATTTTTGTTTAATTCAGTTTTATTCCAAAAAAAAAAATAATAAATAATGATCTTGGTTTTGTATTTTTTGTGTTCGCAAATATACAAATTTTAGTCGATAAATTTTTCATTTATCAAAATTTTGATTAGCAACAAATGAAAGTATATTTATGTCAATTAATCTGTATACTCTAAATTTCAATTTATATATAGAAATGTGTTATTAGAAAGAGATAGGTAAAATAAATATAAAAAATTGCAAAACTAAATTGAGTGAAAAATAATAAAAAAAAGTTAAATACATAGTCAAACCTTGAAGCTTATTTTTCTCGTTAAAAAACCATAATTTGCGCGAAAAAACTAAGGCTTCAAAAGTTTTTTCCATGTTTTGGAAAATAATTGGGAAAGTGAGAAAATTTCGAGAAGAAGAAATCAAAAAGGTACATAACAACATCAAAACTACTCACTACTCATATTTTGTTTTTACATTGAAAAAAAAAAGAAAAAAAGTTAACTCAAAAAAAAATTAATATATACACAAACAAACAAAAAACCAAAAAAAAAAAACGAGTAGTAGTGAGACGAATATGGCGCAGATGCAGCGAGAAGAGGCAGAGTCCGTCACGAAAGAGACGACGGAGAAGAAATATTCAGACGTAGGCGGCGGATCTTCCGGCGCTCAGGCGACGGCGTTTAAATTCAACGCTCAGGCGCCGGAATTCGTACCGCGATCACATACCACCGCACCAGCACCACAGGTTTCTCCGATCTCCGGTTACTTTTACCCTTGCTTCCATTACAACGGCGGTTGCATTGGAGGATGCGGCGGCGGAGGAACAAACGTTGGTACTCCATCGTCGGATTGGATCTACGTTGGAGGAGGAGATCCTACTGGTCAGCATCAACATGTTCATGATCCGGCGGCTGCGTTTTACATTCCGAGTCCGGCTGTTCAGTTTCCGGCTAATCAAACCTCTTCCTCTTCTTCCTCTTCCAAGAATCTGCTTTCCGATGATCTCCGGCTTAAGATCGTCAAACAGGTCTTTTATCACTTTTTACGTAATTGATACGTAAACTTTTATGTTATGAGATCAGATTTACAGTTATAAATCATACGATTTGATCTAACAATATTTATTTGTGGTAGTTAGTTTGGTGTAATTGCTTATAACGATAAATCAAATAAGATGAAATTTCCGGTTTACCAAACAAACCAACTCTGGTTTAGCCTTTTCAAACCTATCTTGACTGACAAGAAAACCACTTGTATATATAGGTTGAGTACCAGTTCACGGATATGAGTCTCCTAGCCAACGAGTCCATTTCAAAGCACATAAGCAAAGACCCTGAAGGTTATGGTAAGCACATGTTGTTTTTTTTTTATAACTATTATATGTTCCTTCAGATTTCTGCAAAGATGTGAATATCAGTTTTGCATTCATATGTTTTGAACGTAGTGCCTATATCATATATTGCTTCGACTAAGAAGATCAAGGCTTTAACGAGTAACCACCACCTAGTTTCACTTTCCCTACGCTCTTCCTCAAAGCTTGTAAGCTTCTTCTTTATTTTTTTGTTTAATTCTCTAGTCATTAACTAAATGTTATAAGATCTAAGTATTCTGAGAGAACTTTTTGTGAACAAAATTATAGGTTGTGAGTGAAGACGGCAAGAAAGTTAAGCGTACAAGTCAATTTACTGACAGAGACAGAGAGGAATTGCAGGTAAATTTGAATCTCATGAAAGAGCTTCATCTTGTTTATTATAATCAACTATACAACAAGTTCTTGTATTGTTCTGCAGGGCCGGACTGTTGTAGCAGAGAATTTGCCAGATGATCATTCTTACCAGAACCTTGAGAAGATTTTTGGAGTTATTGGAAAGTAAGAAGGCTTTTTACTTTTATTTTTAAACATTGCTTCTCTAAATCAATAATACAACAACTCTGGATTCAATTTGTTTCAGTGTCAAAGCGATTCGTATATGTCATCCTCCAGAGTCCAACTCCTCTCGTCCAAAAGGAGATTTCTTGATGAGCAACAAAGTAAGTACCATGCATGATCTGTTTCTTATTATCACCTGGACTTAGAGCTTAACATATACATTCTTCTTGTTTTACCCCAAAGATTCACGCGCTTATCGAGTATGACAACACTGTTATCGCGGATAAAGCTGTGAGTAAATCTTTACTTTCAACCATCTTTGTGATCCAAAACTCTGCATATATTAGCTGCTGAGATATATAGCAAATGTGATCATACCAGGTGGAGAAGCTGAACGATGAAAGAAACTGGAGGAAAGGGCTTCGTGTGAGGCTGCTTCTTAGATGCTCTGTAAGTTTATATATTCTCTTCTTAATAAATAACACATTTCTCTTGAAACGCTCTGAGATTAAGTGCATTATCATAACTTGTGTACTATGTACAGCCCAAATCAGTGCTCAAGAACCGAAGAAACTTCGATGGAATCCTCATTGATGATGAGCTCCCTTCTTATGAATCAGGAGAAGACTCTCCACGTCTCCATTTAACCGAATCACAGCTTGATAACGATGTTAGTACTGTTTCGTAACCCCCACGAAATGTTTTCCCATAGATACAAACTAAATGTTCTTGCTGTGCACGTTAGGGTGATGACAACAATGTTGGTGGACTATGGGGTAAAGGGAGAGGAAAAGGAAGAGGACGATCCCCAAGAAGCTACGCAGTAGGAGGAGGAGGACGTAGCTTCGGGATTGGGCTCGGAGTCAGCCTCGGGATACCGAGCCTAGGTTCACACGAATCTTCATCTCCTAAAACAGCAACAAAGGGACCAAGAATGCCTGATGGAACGAGAGGCTTCACCATGGGGCGAGGCAAACCTTCCTCCATCTCACTCTCACCTAACAATCTCTAAATAATTCCCCACCACAAGGACTACTATTTTTATGATATAATAGAGGTAAAAAAGTATTAGAGTGAATTAACCAAATAATACATAATATGGGGTTGGTTTTTCTAAGCTACGTTCACAGAAGCAAGCAAAAGGCACATGACTTATGGGAGAAGAGATAGTGAAAATGAACTATGATGAAGGCATGGTGACGTTTTTTTGAGGGTTCGTCTTATATAACTTCTTTCATCCTCTCAATTCTTTTAACTTGGTAATTTTTTTCTTTTGTATGTTTAATATATGTTTTATGTTTTGTGAGATTATTTGAATAATGAAGGGTTTATAGCACAAGAATTGCAACCCTAGCTGTGTATCTCAACTCTTTATGTTGATTTAGATGAATAATGGATTGAATAAGTAACTGTAAGATTGGTTAATTTGAAATGTAATCAGTTTCTTATAAATATAACTGAAAAGACAAATGGGGTATTGGGGATAGCAAAACTAAACTCATGATTTCTTACGCTAAGGCTGTCTACTAGTTTCATAACATATTGTCAAACAAACTAAAAGTATCACATTGATTAATACTATTAAATCATGTAAATCTTTAATTGAAACAAAACCTAATTTTTACTCCCAAATTAATACAAAGCCTTCTACGGTTGGAAATTGTTGGCCATATACTATATATTTACATGAAACTAAACATGCAATACCAGCAAACCAACTTCATAATTATTGTCTATATGTAGAGAATAGATATGTAACGGCTAGAGTTGTCATTTAATTACACTTGTATTCAGTATATATATTGTAACTCTTACATCTAATATAATCATCCAATTCCCTATCCTATATGGTATCAGAGCGACGATACCTAATACCCTAAATTTTTTTTATTTTTTTTCCTAAGCCGCCGCTCTCTTTTCAGCTTCTCAAACATGACAAAATCCTCCACCTCTAGTGAGACCATCGTTGTCTCTGAAAATCCTACTCTACTTCATGTCAATATGACAAACGTCACTAAACTCAATACCAGCAACTTTCTCATGTGGAGCAAACAAGTTCATGCTCTCCTTGATGGCTATGAACTCGCTGGATATCTCGATGGATCCATAGTCGTTCCAGAGCAGACGACTACAACTGACGGTGTGGTTTCTGACAATCATGCCTACAAGTTATGGAAAAGACAAGACAAACTCATCTATAGTGCTCTTCTAGGTGCGATCTCTGTGTCTGTCCAAACAATCTTGTCTCGATGCTCCACTGCTGCTGATGTTTGGAGCACGCTCACAACAACCTATGCGAATCCGAGTCGTGGTCACGTAAATCAGTTGCGTCTACAACTCCCGCTGTGGACTAAAGGCACGAAAACCATTGACGAATATATTCAAGGTTTTGTAGCCCGTTTTGATCAACTCGCCTTGCTCGGTAAACCTGTGGAACAAGAGGATCAAATTGACCATATCCTCAATGGTGTCCCTGAAGATTACAAACCAGTGATTGATCAAATTGGAGGACGTGAGAAAACTCCATCCATTCCAGAGGTCCATGAAAAGCTTCTCAATCATGAGGTGAAGCTCCTGTCTCTCCAAGCGAACACCAACTCCTCGTCACTTCCTATCACGGCTAACGTCGCACACTACCAAGGATCGAACAATAACTATCGTGGTCAAAGCAGCAACTACCGCGGGCAGAATAAGAACTCTCGGGGGCAATATCGGTCCAACAACAATCGCAACAATCAAACATGGCAACAACAACAAGGTCAACCAAGATATGATCAGTTTTCTCCACGAGGATACCAAGGTCATTGTCAAATTTGTGGGATACACGGACATAGTGCAAGAACATGTTCGCAGCTTCACTCTTCTACAGCCGGTTCTTTCGTGTCTAGTCCGGCCCCATGGCAGCCGCGTGCTCATTTTGCTGCTGCACCAACTCCAAATGCAAACTGGCTTCTTGACAGTGGTTCGACGCACCACCTCACAACAGACTTAAACAATCTGTCTCTCCATCAGCTGTACAACGGTGGAGAAGAAGTTACCATCGCTGATGGTTCAGGTCTCCAAATCTCGCATACTGGTTCCACTCTCTTACCTACCCCTTCTCGTTCTTTTAGACTAAATGATGTCCTTTATGTTCCTAACCTTCACAAAAACCTTATATCCGTTTACCGTTTGTGTAACGCTAATCAAGTGTCTGTGGAATTCTTTCCTGCTCACTTTCAGGTGAAGGATCTCAAAACTGGGGACCGGTTACTCCAAGGCCGAACTAAGAACGAGTTATACGAGTGGCCAGTCAACAGAACCAATCATATCTCTATGTTTGCAACACCAACATCCAAAACATCTCTCCCACTTTGGCATTCTCGACTTGGTCATCCATCTCCACCCATTTTACAAAAGCTTATTTCTCAATTTTCTTTGCCATGTTCTGAACCTTTACAAAAACAATCTCCTTGTTCTCATTGTCTTATCAATAAAAGCCATAAATTGCCTTTCTTTTCAAATACAATTTCCTCTACAAAACCTCTTCAATATGTTTACTCTGATGTTTGGACATCTCCTCTTATTTCCGTAGATGGTTTCAAGTATTATCTTATACTTGTTGATCATTATACCCGATACTCTTGGTTTTATCCGTTAAAGCAAAAATCTCAAGTTAAAGATACATTTGTCGCTTTCAAAGCTTTGGCTGAGAATCGATTTCAGAGAAAAATTGGCACTTTATACAGTGATAATGGCGGAGAGTATATTGCATTGCGGTCATATCTTACTACTCATGGCATATCTCATCTTACCTCACCTCCTCACACGCCGGAACATAATGGCATCTCCGAACGTAAACATCGTCACATTGTCGAGACTGGCCTAACACTACTTCATCAAGCGTCGGTACCAAAGATGTATTGGACATATGCATTTGCTGCTGCCGTTTATTTGATAAACCGTATGCCAACTCCGGTGCTACATAATGTGTCGCCGTACTTGAAGTTATTTGATGCTCCACCCAATTACTTAAAGCTTCGAGTGTTTGGGAGTCTTTGTTTCCCATGGTTAAGACCGTATACTTCAAACAAGCTCGAAGATCGATCTAAGCCGTGTGTTTTTATTGGATATTCACTTACTCAAAGTGCTTATCTATGCCTTGATCCCACCGCTGGTCGCATTTATAGTTCTCGGCATGTTCAGTTTGATGAAACAAAGTTCCCGTTTGCTTCTCTACAAACTCAGTCACCCATCACTCCCACATTTGAATCTCCACCAGCCAACGTTTCCCTTCCAGAGATTTTTCGGCTTCCGACTACACCACTCGTATCAACTTTGTCTCTTCGGTCCCCTCCACAGATCCTTCACTCGCCGGTTCCCTCGCAGATGATCCCGTCACCATCTCAGTCATCGTTGGTGTCTCCTGCATCTGTGAACAACACCGACGAAGCAGAGTCAAGTGGTCAAGTGGGCCAAAATTCCATGGACACAACTTTGATTAGTGTAACACAACTTCAAAGCCCAACACCAAGCCCAACACCAAGCCCAACACCAAGCCCAACACCAAATCCAACAAACTCACCAACACCAAGTCAAACCACGTACTCTCCATCACCGTCACCTCCAATATCACCTCCGGTTCTGTCTCCACCGGATTCACCTATACAACCTCCGCTTCCAACAAATTCTCACCCAATGATCACAAGAGCCAAAAATAACATCACCAAACCAAAAACCAAAACGTCCTTAAATACAATCCTCACCACCACAAAACCTCTCATCCCAACCACGGTTAACCAGGCTATGCGAGACCCGAATTGGAGACATGCTATGGGTGATGAAATCAATGCCCAACTTCGTAATCACACTTACGAATTGGTTCCTCCATCACCAAATCAACATGTTATTGATACAAAGTGGATGTTTACTTTAAAATACAAACCTAATGGTGCTCTTGACAGGTATAAAGCGAGGTTGGTGGCTCGTGGTTTCACGCAGCAGTACGGCATTGACTATTCTGAAACGTTTAGCCCAGTGGTTAAATCTGTCACTATTCGCATCGTCTTGCAACACGCGGTTCAGAACTCTTGGTCAATCAAGCAACTTGATGTAAACAATGCTTTTCTTCAAGGTACACTCACGGATGAGGTCTATGTGTCACAACCACCGGGATTTATTGATAAAGATCGGCCTCATCATGTCTGTCGTCTGAAGAAAGCTCTTTACGGCCTCAAACAAGCACCCCGTGCTTGGTACCAAGAATTGAAAACGTTTCTGCTGCACCTTGGGTTTCTTAATTCTTTTGCTGACACATCTGTGTTCATCTATGTTCATGGAAAGATCACGGTTTACATGCTGGTCTATGTCGACGATATCGTGTTAACTGGTAACAGTACGTCTCTTCTCAATGACTTCATTGTGAAGCTCTCTGCTCGTTTTTCTTTAAAGGAACCCACAGATTTGGAATATTTTCTGGGAATTGAAGCAACCAGAACGTCAAGGGGTCTCCATTTGATGCAAAGGAAGTACATCATTGATCTCCTAAACCGCACCAACATGCTTGAAGCAAAACCAGTTTCAACTCCGATGGCCTCGTCACCTCCGTTGTCGATACGGTCTGGTTCTCTCCTTGATAATCCCCGCGAGTATCGTCACGTTGTAGGCAGCCTACAATACTTATCTTTTACGCGGCCTGACATTGCTTACTCGGTCAATCGTCTGTCTCAATTTATGCATTGTCCCACTGACATGCATTGGCAAGCTGTCAAACGCGTTCTTCGTTACCTTGCGGGTACGACCTCACATGGGATCTTCTTACATAAAAACTCTCCATCAATACTCCATGCTTATTCATATGCTAACTTGAATAGAAATATTGATGATGGTGTGTCGACAACGGCTTATATTGTATATATGGGTACAACACCTATTGCTTGGACATCGAAGAAGCAAAAAGGTGTCTCCCGCTCCTCTACGGAATCAGAATACAAGGCTGTTGCGAACACGGCGTCGGAACTGCGGTGGGTCTGCAATTTGCTCACGGAGCTCGGTATCTCGTTACCACAGATTCCTGTCATTTATTGTGATAACATGGGGGCGACGTATCTATGTGCTAATCCAGTGTTTCATTCGAGGATGAAACATCTCGCCCTAGACTATCATTTTGTTCGGGATCATGTTCAATCTGGTGCGCTACGTGTTACACACATCTCTGCGGATGACCAGCTCGCAGACTCTCTCACTAAACCTCTTCCTCGCACACAATTTGTGAACCTCTCTCGCAAGATTGGAGTGACACCTCTCCCTCCATCTTGAGGGGGCGTGTAGAGAATAGATATGTAACGGCTAGAGTTGTCATTTAATTACACTTGTATTCAGTATATATATTGTAACTCTTACATCTAATATAATCATCCAATTCCCTATCCTATACTATATACGTACTATATACTGATTGGTCGAGATGAAAATAATGATAATTAAACTTGTCTCTATGATCTACTAAACTATTCTAGAGAGATTATCAAATCAAGAGTTAGTGAGACAAAAGAAAGAAAAAAAAAAACGTAAGAGATGTGTGGATCAAAGTATATATATTGAAAACGATGAAATCTATTAAAAAAATGAAATTGATATACGCACTGTCCAGATACAACGAAGGTGTTAGGTAACAGCATATATAAGCAAGAATGCATTATTCAAGAACAAGCAGGTACATCCAATCAAATTGATGGAGTAATGTAACGTAATCCTGATTTTCAGAGCGAAATTATTTGTAATCTATCTATATATAGTTTACGAGCTAATTAGTAATAAAGTTATATTTAGAAAAAATATATAACTACATACATGGACTATGATACTTTGTATAGTATCTATTCAGAAGATTGATCTTTAATTAATTCCAAATTTGTAAAATGATAACGTCCATAAGTACATTTGAAAACGTTTTTATTTCATTTCTATAAGATATTTTTGTTTCAACATATATATAAATACCATAGATCTACACCGTTCACCAATTTAAAAGAACTTTTTGGTTTTTGGTTTTTGGTTTTTGGTTTTTGGTTTTTCGCCTATCAAAACACAAAAAGACAACATCAGCAACAAAAAGACAAGAAAAAGGACAAAAAAACAAAAGTTGATGATACATAAGTAAACAAAACAGAAAAAGAAAAACGTATAGAGTATTGCTTAGAGAAAGAACAAACATATGTGTGTGTGTGTGAATATGAAATTATACATAAAAAGAAAATTAAAAAAGGTTCAGAAATAGAAAGACGTGGCAAAAAGGTTCAACCAATCCACATCTAATCTAACCTTCTTCATCAGTTGGAAGCAAACTTCACACCCGCAGATTCTGCCATGTGGCTTCTCTCTCTTCTACAGCTCACTTCTTCTTCTCTCTCTCTCTAACTACATTGATTTGAAAAACCAAACCAGCAGAGAGAAAGAGAGAGAGAGAGCGTTTCAATGTCATTGCTGTGATTCTCTTTAAGTCGTCCAGACACACAACTCCCAAATCTTCTTCTTCTTCTTGTTCTGTCTTTTTTTCTTTTTTTTTTATATTTCTTTGAACCGGAGAAGAGAAGAAGAAGAAGAAGACTATGGGAGGCTGTACCTCTAAGCCCTCCTCCTCCGTCAAACCTAATCCTTACGCACCCAAAGACCTGGTTCTTCATAATGACGATTCTACCCCTTCCCATCCCGGCAAATCACCGGTTCGTTCCTCTCCCGCCGTAAAAGCCTCTCCTTTTTTCCCTTTCTACACTCCTAGCCCCGCCCGTCACCGCCGTAACAAGAGCCGCGACGGAGCTGGAGAGAGTAAGAGCGTTACCAGCACTCCTCTCCGTCAGCTCGCGCGTGCTTTTCACCCTCCTTCACCGGCGAAACATATACGGGATGTTCTGCGGCGGAGGAAGGAGAAGAAGGAGGCTGCTCTGCCTGCGGCGAGGAATCAGACAGAGGAGGAGGAGAGGGAGGAGGTCGGGCTGGACAAAAGATTTGGGTTTTCCAAGGAGTTACAGAGTAGGATTGAATTAAGGGAAGAGATTGGGCGAGGGCATTTTGGTTACACTTGCTCTGCTAAGTTCAAGAAAGGAGAGCTCAAAGATCAGGAGGTTGCTGTTAAAGTCATCCCAAAATCTAAGGTCAGTTTTACCACTTTACTTTTCTGATAGTCTCAAGTTTCCATCTTTAGTTTTGTGCTTCAATTGGCTCAAGTGATAGCTTAGTTTGAGAAACTGAAGATTTTGTGTGTCTCTTGTTTGTTTTCTGATTTCGTTAATAGATGTTAAACTGTTTTAAGGTAGAAGAACAAACTATCATAGTCTCCTTTTGTTGCTTCCCATGATGAAACTGTAATTTGACCATTACGTTCTCTTGATGGTTTCTTTTCTTCTCTACGAGCTCACTGTCCTCTTGTTTAAGCCATCTTGTTGAAAAATTAATAGCGTATGTGGACTTTCACGTTTAGGAATTAATAGAGAAAAGCGGATGATGTTGAAGTTTTTAATGAGACTAATGTTTCATCCTTGTTTTTCAATAGCCTAGTTTTCAATGGTTGTAGATATTAGCTTTTGCTGACTTTTCTGTGAAAATTTTCTAAACGTTTTTAAATTGGTCAATAAATTGGAAGCATGGATATTTGTGCTTATTGTCATTAAGCAAATGAGATTTCTATGCTCTGTATTTGATGACTAAGAATGTTAGCTAGGCCTTTAAGTTAGTTGGAATCTACACATCTGCAAAATAATAATATACAGATGGGTTTAGTGTTAGCGTAACCCATAATAGACTGTTGCTCATCGGTTTTGGTTTTGGCAGATGACATCTGCGATATCTATAGAGGATGTGAGAAGAGAAGTGAAAATACTGCGGGCGTTATCTGGACATAAAAATTTGGTACAATTCTATGATGCATTTGAGGACAATGCCAACGTCTACATCGTTATGGAGTAAGAAAACTTGTTTCCACGCCACATATCATGTGCTTATATATCCCTGTGTGATGTTGAATCAACTAGATTTTCATTATATTTTAGGAACAAAAATCTGTTAGGTGGAGCTATCAGATTCTTATTTTCTTGACTTGGCTGAATAAACAATTACTTTCTTTCAACTTTCAGGTTATGTGGAGGTGGTGAACTCCTTGACAGGATACTAGCAAGGTCTGCTTTTAAAGATTGCTATAATATTTATTAACTTATGTTCAGAGATTCTTCTTCAAGATGTTTTATTTTCCTTTCTAACTATTTCATATTCATCTTCTCTTATAGGGGAGGAAAATACTCTGAACATGATGCAAAAGCAGTGCTTATACAGATCCTTAACGTTGTAGCTTTCTGTCATCTCCAAGGAGTTGTGCATAGAGATCTAAAGCCAGAGGTGAACCACACTTTCGTATTTGTTTTTCCCTTCAAACCCCGAACGAAAGATCTTCTCTTTGTTTAATACCAATCTCACATTTGAAAAACTTTCTTGTGTCAGAACTTCCTGTACACTTCCAAGGAGGAGAACTCTCAGTTAAAGGTCATAGATTTTGGCTTATCGGACTTTGTCAGACCAGACGAAAGACTTAATGATATAGTGGGAAGTGCATATTACGTAGCCCCTGAAGTTCTACATAGATCTTATACAACGGAAGCTGATGTATGGAGCATAGGAGTAATAGCCTACATTCTCCTATGTGGAAGCCGTCCTTTTTGGGCAAGAACTGAATCAGGAATTTTCAGGGCTGTTCTAAAAGCTGATCCTAGTTTCGATGAACCTCCTTGGCCTTCATTATCCTTTGAGGCTAAAGATTTTGTTAAGAGATTATTGTACAAGGACCCTCGGAAAAGAATGACAGCCTCTCAAGCTCTGAGTCAGTAAACTATAAAATCTCCACATTTTTCTTTAATTATCATCTTCTGTTTCTAGCTGTCATGAATCCCCACTTGAAGTTAATCTACGTTTTTCTTGGTTTTACAGTGCATCCCTGGATCGCGGGTTATAAGAAAGTAGATATTCCATTTGATATTATGATCTTCAAGCAGATCAAAGCATACTTGAAATCTTCGTCTTTGCGCAAAGCTGCTTTGATGGTAAATTTTTCTTGTAATCATTATACTACTGTTTCCAATGAACATTAAAGGATGTGTTTGATTTTTGATGCCTTTCAATCTAGTTAGCTCTCCATATTTTCGTGTTGATCCTAACTCTTTTTACCCTCCTCCAGGCTTTGTCCAAGACATTAATTACCGATGAGCTTCTTTATCTGAAAACGCAGTTTGCACTCTTAGCACCCAACAAAAATGGCCTCATTACTTTGGATAGCATCAGATTGGTATGCGCCGTCTCTCTCCTCTCTCTCTCTCTCTCTCTCTCTGGTAGAGAACAAACAGCTCAAAGCTAGTTTTATTTCTGTTTGGACAGGCACTTGCTACAAATGCAACAGATGCAATGAAGGAATCACGGATCCCTGACTTTCTTGCGTTGGTATAATTCCGTTTCTGTTCTTGCCCTTTTGCTCAATCTGTTTAAGAGACAATACAAGGTTGGTAACAAAAAGCTTTGTTTTGGGAAATGACAGTTAAATGGACTTCAATACAAAGGGATGGATTTTGAAGAGTTTTGTGCAGCTTCTATTAGCGTTCATCAGCATGAGTCTCTTGATTGTTGGGAGCAGAGCATTCGTCATGCTTATGAGCTCTTTGAGATGAATGGAAACCGAGTTATCGTCATCGAAGAACTAGCATCTGTAAGTTTTCTTCTCCACTTGGACTTTTCTTTCACAATATTTGCAGCTATTAACTAAAGTGAACACAAATGTATTGTAGGAACTTGGTGTTGGATCATCGATCCCAGTCCATACCATTCTACATGACTGGATAAGACACACTGACGGGAAGCTGAGCTTCTTGGGTTTTGTCAAACTGTTGCACGGGGTCTCAACTCGACAAACATTAGCAAAACCACGGTGAAAAAAGTAACTTGGTGTTATAACGGATTCAAAAGAGGAAGAACACAACTGCGGATGGATCTCAAGAACTTGACTGATTTTGGAGTGGGATCGGAATTTGGAACTGTTTTCAAGACCATTCCTATGTTTATATAGTGTTAAAAATGAATGCAAAGTTCCAACACAGAAAAGAGTATGAAAAAATCCAGCAGGCCTGGAAAGTTGTAATAAGACATAATCCAATAGTGTTGTTCTTCCAAATCGTCAGAAAGACAGAGATTAAGAGCACTTTCTCTTTTCATATGACATGTCTCCATATTATCCACGAGAAAGGATTCACAATTTCACATTTAAGTTGTTATATTCCATTCTCAATCTAAAACATAAACTTTTTTCTAAGCCACAAAACTGACAGTTGGAATCAGCAACAGAGTCAGCTTTTTAACAATTCAAAATCCCATCATCCATATCATACAAGTCATACATTTGATTCTCAATGTGACACAGAACAAACCATAAACCCAAACCTAAGTCAGAAAACAGATTGTTGGGATGGCTCAGCATAAGCGTCAGCTTTTTAACATTTTATGAATCCTCAAACTTGAACCTAAAACAACTCTATTCCCAGGGAGGATTGAATCTACAATGCTATCTAAACACTTGAAGGCACCTGCTTCTTACATGATAACAAGGTCGAAAGTTCTACTTGTTGACCAAGATCTGTCATGTCTTTTACCTTGAGGAGAGCCTCTGATGCAGATCATCTGCCAATGCTTGCCTCAAGCTCTCTCCGTAATAGTAAAACTGCCTCTCACTCTCTAAAACTCTTGCAGGCGTTCCAGCTTCATCTGGATCCTTCCATATCTCCGGCTCAGGTTCTCTAGCAATCTGACACAAGTTATGCAACACACAACAAGCCACAATAGTCTGAGGAGCATGGTTGACTCCAACATTCAAACTCTGAAGAATCTTCCATCTAGCCTTGAGCAATCCAATGGCTTCCACCACGACTGACCTTCCCTTCATCAGCATTCCGTCGAATAGATTCTCAGGCGGCGAACCAGAGCCATTGGGGGAAAAAGGAGTCATCATGAATGAGAGAAGAGGGTAACACCAATCTCCAACAATGTATGGTCTCACATGGTGACCTCTAATATTGATCACTTTCTCCCACACAATGTCCCCTGAAGTCAGCCTCTTGTATAGAAGACTATCTCTGAAATGTGAAGAGTCGTCTTCTCCACCTGGAGCTTTCACACAGACGTCCCAAAAGATCTTCTTGTGATCAGCAACGACCTGAAGCAGAACGGCGTCGTATCCATACTTGCAACCGTAAATGTTTTTAGGGTTTAGTTTCGTGCGGCGTCTGAGCTTCACGGGAGTACTATCAATGGCGCCGCAGATGTTGGGCAGAGACGTGAGTTCTTCGAACCCCTGAGTCGTTTCGATCAATCTGCGTTTTCCGACGGGGATCTTAATAAATTCCGGGTAAAGCTTAGTGGCTAAGAGACGGGTGACCATGTTTGTGATCTTGGAGATGAGGTATGGATCTAGAGCGTAGCGAGAAGCTAAGGTTTTGGCTGAGCAGCCATGAGCGAGACGAGAGAGAACCATTGCGACGGCGTAATCGGCGGGGAGAGAGAGATTTGAAGCGGTGATGAAGGGCTTGAGCTTGTCGACGACAGTGGTGAAGACTGGGTAGGAGAGACCATACAAGGACCGCCAACGTGCGTCGCGGAGAGGCGCATCGAGGGACCAGATGTGGTCGGTGGCTAGGGCACGGAAAGCAGCGACAGAGTAATCGCCGTCGGGAAGAGGTGGAGGAGGTGAAGGGGAAGGAGAAGCGGAGGAAGATGAGGATTCAGTTGAAGATCTGTTGACGGCGAGGAAGGAGAGGAGAGATGCGAGAGTGAAGAAGAGGAGAGGCGCGGCGGAGGAAGATGAGAGGAGAGAGGAAGGTGTAGTTGAAGACGGCGAAGATGTGGAGGCGGAAGAGAAGAGAGTGTTTGTAGGGTCTAGTGAATTCTGGAGATGGAGAAGGTGTGAGAGCATCGCCATGAAAGCTTCTTCCATCTTCACTCTCCTTTCTTTTCTTCCTCTCCGGGGAGTTTTGAGAGTTCGAGAAGAAGAAGAAGAGTGAGAGGGGCTTATAGTTAAGCTTTCAAAACTGAAGGGGCTTAAAAAGAGAATTTTAAAGTTTTGGGTCTATTGTTTAATTTTAAAACGTTTTGGGCTATCTGAGCAGTTAAAATATTTAAGCGGAACTGATCCACGAAGGCACACCCATCATTATATTAGTCTGAGACAAACCAGTAACCAAAATTTTTGAATCTCCAAACAACAAACAAGTCTATCAAAATCAAATCCATCTAACAAAATTCTCCTTTTGACTACAAGTTTAGTAGCTATGATATCTGAATCATAGCTTTAAACCCTCTGAGAAGCCACCTTGGTGATGATCACTCTCAAGTCTTTTCAAGTCTCACCATGATAGGTGTTGGAGTCGTGGTGGTTAGCATATCCTCCATTGTTGTAACCTTGTCCTCGTGAGTATCCTCCATTCCACTGCTGTCCTGAGTCTCCTCCTCTCCACTGCTACAAGTTGCACACATTAACACAATTAAAGAGAAATCTATTGCCGGTCATGGTTAGATTCTAGTTTTGTTTAGTTCAAGACAAGTTGGAAAAAACAAAGACCACTTGATGGGGAGAAATTGTCAGCAGAAACATTTTTTAAGTCCTAGACCAAATTGGTGGGACAAACAAAACCATGTCGACATATGACCATGTTCAGGGTTGGTGACACAAGTTGGACATGGAGACATGTATTAGATATTCTCCCACTTGCCTAAATCAATAGAGAAAATGGAAGGGAAGGTGCTACTGCTACAGATTCCAACAGCTAATATCAACTACTGACTTTACTTTTTATACGCTACTCACAAAGTCTGACCCTAGCAAAAAAAATAGTATTCTACTGATAGAATGCATCAACTCCAAACTGAAATACTTACCTGCTTGTTTGGGCTTCGTCCCCAAGAGAGTCTGACAGTGTTCTTGCCGATAACTGTCCCGTTCAAACTCTCGATTGCATCTTCAGCACTCTTCCTGTTAAAACCAAGGCAGAGTCGCTTTATTCACTACTAGATAAGCACCTTACTGGTTGCTCAAGCATGTGATTGACAAGCCAACATAACTAACTAGATGAGTACTGCACCTGTCAGCAAACTGAACAAATCCACATCCTTTGCCTACTGGGATCTTCACCGAAACAACCTCCCCAAACTGGGAAAAAGGTTGTCTAAGGTCTTCATCAGTAACATCAGGGTCAATGCCGCCGACGAATATCTGCAGTAGAATAAAACTCAAAAAATGAGTAACAAAAACATATAGAGTCTATAGAATGATACTGACATATAACTAAATTTGACAACTCACTGTTGAGTTAGTTGATTCGCCATCAGACTGCGAGCCATGAGCCATGTAACCATTTGCTCCATGTCCACCAGCCAGTATCAGAGCTATTCCGATGAAAACATAAAACTTTATAGTTGAGTGCAACAAGACCTCATTAAAGTTGTTAACTTTAACGTCTATATGGTAAAGAAACCAAACAACAAATGAAATCTCAGTGTCCAATACTTACCTTGTGAAGAATGTTGTTGCTGATTAGCAACCGCTCTTTTAGGGGTTGCAATGCCAACGCGCATTTGCCTGTTAGAACAGAAGGCTCCATTCATTTCTGTCAAAGCTCTTGATCTCTCATTTTCATCACCAAACCTAACAAACCCGTAACCTTTGGACCGTCCGGTGTTGGAATCAATCACAACTTTGGCGCCTTTGACAGAAGGGTATCGAGTAGAAAAGGTCTCGTGCAATAAATCGTCAGTCACATCCGGAGACAAATCTCCAACGAACACGGATAGATCTGGACCATTCTCTACAGCTCTTTTTTCACCAGTACTAAAAGATGCCCAGTTTAGACGGAAAGGCTGCTCCGAGTTAGGCATCACTGAACCACTATAGTTCTGAAGAACTTCTTCAGCTACAGCACGTGAAAGAAACTCAACAAAGCCATAACCTTCTGACTGAGAAGTGAGCTTGTTACGTATAACTTTCACAGAAGAAACCTGCCCATCCATCCCCAAAAAGAACAAGAAACATCAGAGAAAGAACAAAACAGAGCAATTAGTTAGATCATGAAAAAGTGAAAAATCTTATGCAATTATTCTCTTTGTGTACGTACTTTATGTGTGTGCTTTATTTGTCTTACCAGAAAAAGTTTTAACTAAACGTGGCAAGGTACAAGAGTACTTTTTCTTGCCTAAGGAAAACTGAACTTGTCCCTGTCCTTTTCAGGTCAATGCTGTTATCCATTACCCTATTTGTATCTACGCAAATTCAATAATTCCCATTGGATCTAATCTAATCCAACTAAGTTATTTAAAAAAAATTGCGAGTTAGCTTGACAAGGAAACACAAGAACATGTCAAAGATTAACCCAAAAAAAGGATGAATTTTTAGCAATTTTTTTACAAGTAACAATTCCAAAACAGAGTAGATACTAATGAAAGGATGGATAAGCAAGAGAAGATATATATATACCTCGCCGGTGTGAGAGAAGCAAGAATGGAGATAAGTCTCATCCATCCAATGAAGAAGATCACCGACCCAAAGAGTCTTCACATCTTCAACAGATCCACGGTCAAGAGGCTTGTGTTGCTGCTGATGCTGATGGTGTTGGTGTTGATAAGACCCGTATTGGTGAGGGTGAGGGTGGTAAGGAGCTTGGTTATAGGGAAGGTATTGGTGAGGATACATCATCATCTGTTGTTGTTGCTGCATCATCATCATAGCAGCCGCGGGATACTGCATGGCCGCCATCCACTGTTGCGGTTGTTGTTGTTGTTGTTGTTGTTGTTGCCACTGCTGAGGTGGAGGAGTGGTCTGTTGAATCGTGGGAGTGGATCCGGAAGTTGCCAACGCTGAATCTGAGCCGTTGGTCGTCTGCATCTTGATTAAAAAAAATGTTCTTGAAATAAAAAAAACCCGATCCGATCTGGTCTTTGGAGCAGTTGGATTCAAAAACTTCAAGATTCTTCTTCTTCTTGGCTCAGTCTCTCTCCCTCTCTATCTCTCTGTGAATATCTTCGTTACGAGAAAGTGCGTGAAGAAAGTGAGCTCGTTGAGCTCTTAGAAATGGCGGAGAGAGAGAGAGAGAGAGAGAGCGATTTGGTCTTAAAAGGGAGGCGGAGAGAGAGAGAGAGAGAGAAGTGAAATGGGTTTAAAGAAGAAGAAACGAAACTAAATGGGTCTTGTGGGAAAGTGGCCGAAACGTGGGGCCCATATTCGTGCTTAAGCCGTGTTTGTGTTTTTTATGATGATCGGACGGCTCTCATTTCACCGCACTTTTGCTAAACTGATTGATTGATTGATTAATCAGACTTATTACGAGGATAGGGATTGATTGGGTTAAGAAAAAAGAATCCAATACAATTTACTTTTTAACCGTTTTGTACTGTGAAGAAAGAGTCAGCCAAAATAAAAACAGTCAGTAGTAGTCTCAGTAATCAGTAGTACTACAGCTGTGTTTTTTTGTATCACATAGTTCCGTGACAGTATTAATTGAATTTTCTGTTTTCACTTACTTTAGTTTCATTTTCTTTAACATTTAAAAACTCTAAACAATGAGTTATATTATCAACAACACTATATTAGTCTTCTTTGGGTTAGTTTGTATATATATATGTAAAAGCTATATAACTTTCCAGCTGAAATTCTTTGGTTAAACAAAAAAAAATAAAGTATATACAAAGGCTGCATTAAGCAATTAGCCAATTACTCATCTTCTTCTTTCTAGAATTTTCTTCACAGTAACAAACGAGACCAAATAAATAGCTTAGGGACAAATATAATACCAAAATAATTTATGTGTCTAACTTTTATTTTATTTTACTTTTTAAATAAAATAGAAGTGATTTCTTATATGGGCCATAATTAATACTTCCACGCAATTAAATTAGAACAAATTTCATAATTAATGCATATTTTCTGATATAAATTCTAGTTGGTATTGTCTATTATAATCGCCGTTATGTCATCGTATAGGAAAAGTGGAGTTCGACTGAAACCATACGTCTATACAAATGAGCATGAAAACAATGATTAAATACTGAGGTTGAGCATGAACAGTTCGTTGAGATGGTGGGCACCTTAAGTATTGGGCCAGAAACAGCTCAAAGCCCAAATCTCTGAACTATCTCGTTACAAATTTGCGATACATAGCGTATTATTCTTCGACATTCTTTTGAAACAAATTTGATATACTTGTCCCAAGATCCAAGAGCGGCTGAAGCATTTTTGTTTCGAAGTTCTGAGGTCACTATAATTGTTGACCAATTTGCGATTGGGGCTAAACAATATATAAAAATTAAGAGAGAAGAGTTTATAACCTGAAATTTTTGTTGAAAGTTTTTCACAAGGTAGTATAGTAGTGTATATTTTGTTTTTACTTTAAAACGTGGGGTTTTTAAAAAAAAAAAAAATAGATGAAGAAACATTAATGTTCAACAAACGATTAACGATAACTATTTTCACAATCCCAAGACTCATTCCTCCTTTTACGATTTTACCCATTATATATCCCACTTGACTTATTACACGTCTACTACACCTATTTCTCTTGCCCACACACAAGAAAAGAAATGTCTAAAATAGTATAAGTATGCATACAATGCAGTCAGTGTATATATATGTTTATTTCCTTGCTCTCTACACCCAATTCGCCGTTCTGACACAAATATAAATGTATAATGTTCATGTTTTGTGTGAGTCCACCAATATAAATGATATGTGCAAAAATAATAATCAAGTTTTACATAAGTTGTAAGTATAATATTAGATATGGGTTCGCATGTTCATAATGTATACACGTGTGGCATTGTCACTTAAATATATTTTTTTGTTAATTGAAATATAGTGGTATGCTTACCCAACAAAAAAAAAGATTAAAAATATAGTGGTACGTACATGCTTATCTGGTTGCGTCACAAAGGAGACATGTGGACGTAGAAAATGGAAGTTGCATTTGCATGATCCTGTTTGTGTATGTTCACGTCCGTGTGGACTAAATGTGTGAAGGAGAGGATACGATCATGAATATGTTTTTTAACCTTTAAACGATCGGTCGTCGGACTTTTCTCTTAAGTCTAAACCCATATGATGTTGTCTCTCTTTTAGGTTTTATGTTTCTCGTATCAAATTGTTTCTCTTTAAAGTTGGAAACCGAGAAATTGTACATTTTAAAATATATATATAAATCGAAGCAAATAGTTATAAGAAAGAAAAAAAAAAAAAACATGTTTGAACAGAGGCACGTGCATATGTCCGTCTGCTCGCTCGGTAAGAAATGGGTAAAATAAAGAAAGGCCTCAAATGAGCAAATCCCATGCAATGATGAGATTTACTTCCCTCTTCCTAATCCCTCATTTCATTTGTGTATTAATTATCTACTACCAAAAAGCTTAATACACGTAGACATGAATTAATATATCGAAATCAATCAAGATGGTATTTTGTTACGACAAAACTCCACATAAGCACTGTCTTGTCTTTTTGGTATTTACCTAGCAGCGGACCAAGTGTTTAGAGCTGATGAACTGATCCAAAACAACAACAACAGGAACCAAACCAAAGAGAAAAACAGAGGAATATTCCGAAATAAATAAAAGAATATTAAACGAAAAAAATACTTAATATTTGTAGAATTGGCAGTTTATAGAGAAGTACAGACCCAAACTGTACAGTCATGTCATGGGTGCCCCCTTTCCTCTTTTCTCCAATTTTTCCTTACTTTTTATTTTCAATAAAGGGACTCAAACTCTTGGTTTCAGATATTTTTGTAAAATTTGAGTACTATGTATCATACCCCAAACTATGAAACATTTAGAAAACATATACAAAACTGCATATGCAAGAATTAGAATGACAAGCAAGAGACAACACAAAAACACATAACAATAATTTGAGTAAGAGGCAGAAACATAACAATAATGGCTGCAAGGATCTCAAAAAAATAATTGTAGTAATAATAAGCATCCAATGTTTAGTTTTCAGAATCCAAACAAGAAGCACCTTTCTATATTCATGCACTCTGCCTTAAAACCATTTTTGTATGTATACTTCCGTTTGGTTTTTTTTTAAAACACAGGAACATAACAAAACCCATGGGTAAATCACTGTAATAATACCCTACTAATCAAGATCCGAAATTTCATTATAATTATAAAGGTTTGATTTTAATTATATACAAAAGTTTAAAAGATAGAGAGAGAGCTGTACACAAGTGGAATATAAAACGAAGGAACAAAGAAACAAAAACCTATTTTTTTTCCAGCTGCTTCTTTCTTCTTCTTCTTCTTCCTATAGATGTTAAAGTCGATCCCACTTGTAGCGACCTTGAAGCGGTTCGTCATTGACAATATCGAAGTTGTACCTGTAACCAAAAAAGTGTCTGTTCGTTAAAGGCTTCTCTCTCATGATATTTGCTAAACCACGCGTCGGTTTATCATGCGCGCACGCAGACATTGTTGTTCGTACTCCCTCTGTGTGTGTACGGACTCTACTTTCCCCCAAACCCCAAAAAGAAAAAAGCAAACTCCCAGAAAATGGACTCACTTTTCTATGAATTGCTTCTTCTTGTCGTCTGCTTCATTTTCTAACTCAGAGAAAAAACCCTCTATCTCCGCCGGCGTTGGTGTTTTCCTCACCTCCGCCGCGGATGATGATTCCATCTCCGTTGTTGTTTCTCCCAACCCCTCGCTCACTGGACTTGTCTCTCTTCTGTCCCCCAGACAAAACAAAACAAATATCATAACAGAGAAAGAAATAAAACAAAGATCAAAGTGCGAGAACAAGGAGAAGAAAAAAGTTATAAAATTTGGGGGAAAACAAAGAAAGATTTATTAACCTGAAATTGCTATTGATTAATGTTGAGGTTTTGGTTTCGGTTTCTGAGATTTGATGAGCCTGAAAACAAACATTAATGGAGCTTACTCGTTAGAGAAACAGAGGAATAAGTGACAAATTTTTTTAAAAAGCGATCGTTTTCTCCAAAATCATCTGACTAAATCGAATCAAGTAGAGGACGAGTTTTTTCACCTCCAGATCTGTAACAAACGTCGAACGGTTCTTCGCGATTTCTTTGGATTGATTGGTGAAACAACAACCGGAGCTGATACTCGATGAGCTCTGATCGTTTTCTTCTGCGGTGGATGTAGCTGAGCATTCATCCGAAGCTAAAGCCGCCGAAGAATCAACGGAGTGAGAAGACGAAGAAGAAGAAGAAGCAGCGACGAAGACGACGTCGTTGTCTTCATGATGAGAGTCCGATGATGAATCAGAAGCGTCATCGAGCTTCCTTTTCTTCAGAGGTGATGATACTCTTGTGTTTGAATCTTCTTCTTCTTCAAGCTCTCGCTTTCTCTCGCTCATCGTTCTCTTTGATTTTGGTGTGCTCTCTCTCTCTCTCTCTCTCTCTCTCTATATATATATATATTTCTCTCTCTGGTTGTTTCTATTTCTGGTTTCGCTTGTTAACAAAGCAGAGGAGATTTTGGTGGGGGCGGAGAAGAGAGAGGGGAGATGAAAAGGAACGAATCCATCCATCATGAGCCGTTGATTCTTTCTACGGATGAGATTTTATATTCCTTCGTGACCGGACGGAAGTTTTTGTTATTTAACGGCGCCGTTACGGAGTTTCGCTTTTTCCCTTCTTACGCAAACGCCGTTGTGATTTCCAAACGCGTTTTTTGTTTTATTTTTTTGCGATTTCTTTGGCTTCCTTTGAAAGCAATTCAAAACGCAATCATTTACAACATTAGTTAGGAGGAGGTAGTGCAAAACGTAACATTCAAATTTCAATCATTTACTTTTTTTTTAACTTTCGATTTGCAATACCGGGGTAAAACTACAAAGCTATGTTATTTTTATTTTATTTTTATTTTTTTGTCATCAAAGCTATGTTATTTACGAGCCTATGACTCTCTCCCTTTATGTGATTATTGTGAGAAACCATCGAACAAGTTTTATTTAGCCCCGTAGTAACTGGATTTTTATATATATTTCATGATCAGTTACATGACTATAAGTGATGTGACGTATCGAGGTTATATATGAATGGTAGACACAGCTTGATCCCTTTCATTTTACGCGTTTTTTATTATTTATTTATCATGTATGGTTTTGTGTGATTGGTGCTGCCTGCTGGAGTATATATATGTTAAGAGCCAGAACATAGAGTTGGAAATATTTTCATGTGGAACTAAGTATCTTTTAAGGTTATATGTACGTCATTTCATAAACTTACAAAGGATACGTACGTACACTAAAACATTATTGTCGAACAATTTTAGTTGTTGTTAAGTGGTAAATTTTTACATGCAATTAGACACACTATACAAAATTAACATCGATGAACCGATGAGAAGCTAAATATTGCTTTGAATAATCTAGACAAAAAATAATTGGGATTAATCTTGCTTATTAGAAACATCATTTAATTTAAGTCATATATATTTTGTAAGTTTCCATGCATGTGTTTGTTTCCCTTCATTCAAATTCACACCAACAACATATTTTGTCCTATACGTCATTTTTGGGACATGTTCTATGAAAATTAACCAATGTACATGTGTTTAAACCATATTAGTATATTATAGCAACATAGAGAGACTCATGATTCATTTAAGAAGTTCAACGAGAAAATTGCCCCTACAGTTAATACCAATTGTATATAAACAACTAAAACTCAATTAAGCTAGTTTTTTCAAATTAATATAGTCTGTCTAATTGATATACTACATAACTACTTCTTTATTCTTCCAATGAATTGGACCATTTTCAATAAATTGTACTAATAAAAAGAAGAATCGTCGAGTAAATAAGTGACTGATGCAACGAATTCGCTGACCAAGGCATTTATTTAGAGAGTTATTAAGATACATAATGAGGGAATGATTATAGTATATAGATTTATATAATAATTAATTCAGTGACCAGTAATTTTTTTGTGTGTGAAATTGAAACACATAATTCATCAAGAAAGCAGTTTAGTTTCACACATTTTTAATAAGCTGTTAGGAATATATAAAGAATAAAAAGTTGAGTTGATTCCATTTTCTTAATATCCTTCTGTTATCTTTGTATTATGTGGCAAAACTTTAGATCAGAATTTAAAAACTTTTGATTGCAAAAAGAAAAAGAAAAAGGATATGATTTCTAAATAAGATGAAAAAAGCAATTGCATAAATGTCATCATACACATTATTAATAAGAACAAAAGAATTGCATTATATAAGAACAAAAAATTTATTAGAGGATTCATAATTAAGAAACCTAAGATAATTTTTGATAAAAAAAAATAATCTATTAGTTCATGTAACTAGGGTTTTAACAAGTAAATATTCATATAAATTTGGTTTTAAAACATTTAATATAACTTATAAGGTAAGTTAGACAGTTGCTAGTTTGAACAACTCTCATCTTTTTCCTTATATGAGATCAAATCTAGAATTATTGTGTTATCGCATTCTCTGTGATAATCTAAAACTCTTATAATTTCTTGCACAATATAACTCTTATATATGAACTATTTTATCTTCAGTTTTAGATTTCTATACGTTGATAAACTCATTTGAATATGAATCTACACCTTGCCTTAAATTATCTATAACATAGATAGATTTATAAAACTTACATATGAAAGATTCTCAAACGAACAAAAAACCAGATTAGACTCTATTAATTAATCTCTAGAATATGATACAAACATGGTTGTTAATTACTAATCTAGGGTCTTGAGAATTATCTGCTGGTCACACCTGATTGCCATAAAAGAAAAAGTCAATCGAGGAGCTCGAGTTTTCTAACAGATGACATAGACAAAAGTCAAACAATGTAAAAGGATTACACGTTTAATTAGGTGATTTATTAATAAAAGAAAAGACAGAAGACTGTTAGTTGGTGAGCTTTATTTTTCAGTTGGGGTCGGGATCTGTGTAACTGTCTCTCATCTTACATTTATCTTTAATTTTATGTTTCTTACTCTTTGATGTCCTTTGTCGATTCTCTTTATTCACTTTTTTTTTTCTTGTTGTTGTTGTTACAGTTTACATAGACAAAAGGACCACTGAAGAGACTGATGACCATCAGCAACTCATCTTATATATGGCTGTGTTCATAAATCATAAATTCACAATTCTGGTTCATCTGAGTCTTCAAGTAAATGAACCTGTTTTGTCTGTCACCACTTATCATATAGTGATAATGATATGACCAAGTTAGAACTGGTCGATCTAATTTGTACAGTTTGGTATTTATGATCCATAATTTATTTCAAGGTAACTGAGCCTTCCCATGTGTATTTTACAATGACCATATATAGCGTGTAGTGTTAGCGGTAAGATATCATATATCAAATTGTGTATAAGTAATTAAGAGAAGACGCTTTAGACTGGATAATATTATTCTTCATCATAATTGTTGTTTAGTAGGAGGTGGTAAATACCTAAGAAGACGAACAAAGAGTCTCAAGTTTTATATAATAACCGTAGACTGGACGATCGAACTTATATTTGATATTAGTGGATTGTTTTACACTAGCTAATATATGTTCGCATATAATGTATACCTAAGTTCGAGCTAAAATGAATAGCATATTATATATATTGGTGGTTTCAATTTTGGCTCGGATTTAGTTCAGAATAAAAACAGGCTATGATGGTGTTAACAAAAAAAATTAAGAAGGAGATAAAAAAATGAATAGCATATATACAAAGACGATCTTATATATCTATCATATAACATTGGTTTCATTTCTCATATATGACATTGTTTTTGATAAATAAATAATGTTTGGTTGATTACAATGATTACCATATTAACAATAATTTTAAATTCTTCGCAAAAGTATGAAAATTATTTCGGGCCCGATTGGTTATGATTTTTAAGGTTTTAAAACCATTTTAAAGTTTTAACAGTTTTATTTTTACCAATCAAGTTTTTTTTTTTAAGTTCTAAAAGCCACTTTATTTATTTATTTTCTTCTTTATTTTTTCTTTTTTTCTAAAGCTTTCATAGTTAATATCACTGTAGAACCAACAAGTTCTTAAAAACTTTTTTTTCTTCTCTCTATAATGATTAATTAATTAGAAACTCTCTATAGATTACATTTTTTTAAAAAGTTTTTTTTTGTAAATTAATTATCAGTTTTTTCCTTTCTTTTGACATCCACTTTTTCATAAATTTAATATTTTCAATATCACCGTCTTTTCTTATATTATAATTATTAATAAACTTTATTTATTTTTCACCATGTTACATATGGATTAATATTGATCATCATATATTAATAAAATTTTTATCTAATAGCAAAAAAGAAATATTTCAACTCATATTCCATCAAAATTATTTACGTAATGCTTAATGTTGTTGGTTTATAAGTTTTAAGAATCGAAATCTAAAAAAATATGTAGGATTTAGAATCTTCACTAATTTTAAAATCAAATATGTAGGTTTTAACATTAAAAATAGTGGATTTTGAAATAATAAGGTATTTTTCCGAGTGCAAATTTAAGCATTTATTTTTCTACTGAAAAAGTTTCTAGCTAATTTGTTAAATCGTGTAAAATAAAATTTACTCAAAAAAAAATATTAAATTTCAAATTTAAAATAAGCTAGTTATTTGTTTTTAAAATAATAACGGTTTTCCCGCGAATTTAAACGTTTATTTTTCTACTGAAAACAATTTCTAATATGTTAAACTCGTTGTTAAATAAAATCTAGTAAAAATTTAACGGACAAACTAAATTTTTAATTAACATTAAACTTCCTACCAAAAAAAAGAAGTTCACATTAGTCGTGGATTTTGAAATAACAATATTTTTCCCGCGCACATATATAAACGTTACTTTTCTACTGAAAACAGTTCATAATTTGTTAATTCCAATATGAACTAAAACCTAAATAACACTTATCAAACAAATAATACTAAATATCAAAAGAAGTTAACATTAAACTCGTGGATTTTGAAATAACAAGTTTTTTCCCGCGCACATATATAAACGATGTTTTTCTACTGAAAACAGTTCAATATTTGTTAATCTCAATAAGAACTAAAGCCTAAATAACACTTATGAAACAAATAATAGTAAATATCAAAACTTCCACTAGTATTTGAATTTACCAAACAAATAACAAGTGATTTTAACAAGAAATATAACATCAATAATCTGAGCAGTATAGAACACATAATTTGTGTTTGTTTAGATTTTCAAATCAAACTAACCAATAACTCCAACTTTATCTTTCACCAAGAAACGTTTCATAATCTTGATGCTTTCCTCCATAACAGTCTTGTCCCAAATCTCCCTTGACGGTCTTCCAAACGACGGCGTAGCGTCCAACCTTTGAATATCCCATCCATTGCTTTTCAGCTGCTTGATCCTCTCAATCTGCTTCTTTGCAAGCAGCCAAGTGCTCTCTTTGATTGCTTGCACAGCTTCCTCGTATGCCGCCTTTCTCGCTTTGTCCCATTCGGACACCTTGTGGTTTCTCTCGGGCGGGTATAAGCTGAAGTACCGGTCAAACTCGGGTATTCCTATGCTCTTGTAAATCCCGGTTTGGTTCTTTGAACCCGAATATCTCGGGTTGTAGAAATCAGCAAGCTCCTCGAACATCCCTGACTCCATCATCTGGTCGACACGTTTTGAGAGGGACTCGAAGAGGACCGAGACTGAGACATCCACCCAGAGGAAGCAACACTCGTACCTTTTAATCAGTGCAAACACATAAATGGTTAGTGTAAACAATAGGTTCTCCTTCCATTTGCGTTTGAGTTTTACGTTTACTACGTGGAAGTATGCACTTAAAACTTATAAGTAAAAGGTGCTCTAGTTAAGATGTTTATGCTTCTAGATTCATTATATTTCTGGACAATATATATACTAAATGAGAACTTAGACTTCGTGAAGAGTAACATGACACAAAACGAACTATATATATAGTAGCGAGATATCATACCTCAAGTCGGAAGAAATGGAGGCATTAGGAGAGAATGGATACGTTAAGGGGTCAAAACTGTTGACAAGGAGGGCATGAATGATGGAGTTTGATCCGCCAGCTATAATCGGGAGCTTTCCACGAGCAGTGATGTCAGTGATGGACCGCGACGCCAAAGAGCGGTATTCAGAGGCAGTTAGCTCTCCATCATCTGGAGGGAGCACACCGAGGAGATGGTGAGGGACTCCACATCGCTCATGGATGCTCATCTGATTTGTAGTGATCTCCAATCCATTGTAGAATTGAATCTTGTCAGAGTTGATGATCTCGCCAGAGAAACGGGTTGCGAGATCGATCGAGAGGCGTGACTTGCCTGATCCCGTGGCTCCCATGATCACAACCACTTTCTCCTTGCGTGATTTGTCCATGCAAACGATAGTCATGGGAACTGCTGATCGTGGTCGCAGTCGTAGACGTGGAGAAGTGGTCGGGACGAGGGAACGAGAGAGGAATGCGGAAGTAAGTGCTTGCATGATTATGCAAAGAGAGACAGAACTGTTGTTTACAAATCTATCTTAGATCTGCTAGCTGATGAACACAGAACAAAAGGATGTTTGAAAAGTTATATGACATCCCAAGGTATTTATATTTGTAAATGGTTTGTTTATGAGTTCTCTTTTGACACAATGTTTCTCTATAAATAGTATAAAATATGGTGGTATTTTTTGCTTTTATTGGTATTGGTGACTTACAGATTTTGAACAAAGTTTTTAATACTAGATTCATGATTATATTGATTTGTTACCATTACATTATTTACATTGTACTTGTTGTACCTTTTGGTCCTTTTCTTATTATGGATATCTTCCTTATAAAAAATTAATAGTCAAAGTAAATTAAATTAAATAACACATGTATACAATTATGAAACTACTAACACCACTTTTAATTTTTCTGAATGACATCGATATCTCACCCCTCAAACATCAATATGAAATTTAAGTAGCATGCGTGGTAAAACACAATTGAAGACTTACCTCTAATGCTGAATCGATCTGGATCTTAAGAAGTAAGAGTTGATATGCCAAGGACCTTGTGGTTCTCATATAGGGTTACAAATCCGAAAACAATCTACTTCTATATACATCTTTTCATTCTTTAGTAGTAAGACCATGTCCAATGCAAGATTGTTAACTTATTTTGCATATGAAAAGTTTGCAGACAAGTTAGTTTTCCATTACTTTTTCTTCATCCTAGTATATACTACCATAAACATGATTATCATATACCAATTCGTTACTACATACCAATTTTGTGTGCGATGAAAATGTAAACTTGATGATGTATATACAAATCTATAAGAGAAATTTAAAATTTTGTTTTTTGGGCAAAAAAGAAATAAATCTATAATAGAAGAAAGCCGTATCTGTTGATTTTTTTTTATTGAAGCATTTGTCGTAATGCAATAAGTCATAATTACGAAAACATTAATAAATTTTGAATTAATAAGATTTCTCATAGAGGCAATTTGGATAGGGAAGACAACGAGTAAAAAATACTGACGGTAAAAATGCTTCATTTAATTTACTGTGAAAGTTCATAATGTTGGACATTTGATATTAGCTTTGAGATCAAGGCATTTGACTCCTTTAGAGACACATAAGGGATTCTCAATCGCAAGTATTATTGTAAACGTTGTCCGATCCATTTAGAGAGCTTTCTTCACCTCGAAAAAGTTAGATCGTGCATTGTTGGCTGCATCAATGTCTTCTGCGGATGCCACAGCCACCGCGACACCGTTATCTCTAACTGCATCGATTGCCTCTGCGAAATTCTTGAAGTCTTTCAAACTGTGGAAGCAACAAGGAGATTAAAAGTCAGTAAACACCATAAATTAGAATGCAAAGGAACACTTATCGATAGAATGTCGCTAGTAAACCAACCTTGTTGTCAATATCTCCTCACGCTTTCTTTGTCGTTCTTCGTCAGTTACCCCAAGTAAATGCCTCAACAAACTGGTTGAAAGAGATTTGACAATATTGATTCAGGATTCGCTTATGTACGTTTTAAACGGTCAGACAAAATGAATTAAATGAAAAAATCATTTACCTGCTATAACCTTTAGCATCAGGTAATTGGTATGAATCAACATCACCGATGGTTCCGATAATAGCTTTAGTGAGTGTTTCTTGATCCACGTCAAGGCCACGTAAGAAATCTCCGGTTCCATCATATATATCAAGTGTCTTTAACAAGTTTGGATCCCGGTACGATAAGTAAGAAAATACCCCTGAAACAAAAGAGAGCAGGTTAAGATTGGAAGATATTTAAGACAACAAATCTTTTAACATTCAAGGAAGTAAGAAGCAGTTATAACCTGAATGCGAATCAAAATCACAAAAACCTCCATATGCACCACCACTTACACGAACACGGTCCCATAACCATGTATTGCTAATATGCTTTGATATAACATATGCACTGCCGTCAAGCTCATACCCGGTGCTGTATATGTTACCTGCTTTTCCAACATAATTAACCTGCAAAGAGAGTAAGAATGTGAGTTTACTATATCGAAAACCCAAAACCCAAAACCCAACCAGATTCTAATATTTTGTATAAACCACCTTTTTTCTTACCTGGGTTGGTATTACAATAGCTTCATTTCTCAGAGGAAGTCGACCATCCCAAGTGACAAGCCCACCAGATGGGTTCTCAGGGAGTAAATCTAGAAATTTCGCAACAGATTTTTCGACGTTGGTGAGAGACTTCCCATCAGCAGTCATATTGACTATGCAACCATTCCTGGCAAGGAGAGATCTTCTGATCTCCTCAAGTGAGGATGAAATCCCTTCCCAATCTTCATCCACTTTCTTTTCAAGGGTATGTAAATATTCAAGATAACTACAAAAAAGAGATGCTTACTTTGTTAGGTTCCTCTAGTCTCAAAATAATAATAGACAATAACTCTAGAATGTGAATAAAATTCATTCTCAATAGCGATTCACAAGAGAGTAGGCAATAAAAAAGGGGTAAAAATTTGCCCCAAAAAAAAGAAGAAGGTAAATTTAAAAGTCAAATAAAGAAATATCAAGCTCCAACCTGAGACCACCCATCTGTTCAGACATCCATCCAGCAATGTTCAACATTGCATCCATCCTCGCTGCAGCAATTCCATGACCACTTCCCCTCAAGCGGTTCTGAATCGAATGCAAAAGTGATTTTTATATTACTACTTTCAAGTTCGACTTATCATGCAAAAGGCAGAATGACAAAAATCTACTACAGCGCATACCTCCATCCGTGCTCTGCTTTGAGAGACAAATTGTTTAAACCGCTGCTGATCTGTAAATTGAACCTCTTGCAATAAGCAATTCATCTGCAGCAAGATAAAAGCAACAAAATAAAAGACAACCAATAAGTTCAACAGAAACAAAATAGTATATGGGACTGTAGAAATGTTTAGTTGGACCATGATTCCAAATTTTGCAAGGTTACATTATATATCTTAACAGATAAAACCAGTTTTCCAGTCAGAGTTGCTATGTAAGGCAATTCAGCACTCATAGGAAAGACAGAAAATATCAATTTATTAGAGAAAAAAGCGACACAGGCAAAATATGAGAGAGGCAGCACTTTTGTATCTAGTAAAAAAGGAAAAATAAAATAAAGATCTACACATTAACAGCTGCACTACGTCTCTTGAAGACCCAAGAAAACAGTATTCATCAGGTAGACATATCTACACATCCCATAACTTAACATACATTGAACATGGAGGCAAGGAAGTTGGTAAAACACATTTAGCAAACTATCTACAGGATGCAACAGACATTAACACTATATATCTTGGAGGCCCAAGAATACATAATCTATCAGGTAGTCAGCTCTACACATCCCATAACACAATACACACAAATCTAGAGAAATGCAATAATCTAAAGCAAGGAATATCAAATGACAAAGTACCAGGTTAAAAAGGTCTTCTGCACGTCCAGCCATGGATTTTCCACGTACGATAATTTTGCTGCATGGTTCATCCTTACCCCTAACTGATGATGTAAGGGGATAAACTGATATCCCTCCCGTTTTCCTTCCAATCAACTGATTAAGTTGCACAAAAGTCAAATCTTTTGTGCCCATCTCCAGTAATGATTGACTGTCAAAAAACAATTTGTATCAGAGTTAAAATTTTAATTTAATATCAAACAAAACATTCGTTACTACAGCTGCCAAAGTAATCACTACTTTCTTTTTTTTAGGCAAAAGTAATTACTACTTTCTAAAATAGGAAAATTTCCTATGCTTTTGAAAATCAAGCACCATGAATTACCCTGAGAAGAACACCAGAAATAATCAGATTTGTTTTAAGTGAACAAAAACTATCGAAATATAGCATGCAAGTTTCTGGCACAGAATAGAAGTCCAATCAAATGAATTACATAACTCACAAGGAAGCTATGACGAATAGTTAGCATCTAGCAAAATTCTTCATTTAGGATTTCCACCACACACATTTCTGAAAAAACTTGGCAAAAATTTCAAAAGAAAGCCTAAATCATACCAGAAAAGTGGTACTAGCGGAAGAAGCTCATGTTTCAGCGAACCCATATCAAATACTACTTCAGCGTAGATTATATCATTTGTGAAAAGGTCATGTCGCAAAACCTTCACACCATTGATATTTCCAACCTATTGTTTATAACTTACATATCAGTAAAATTCGCAAGCTTGGGAATTGTAAGGAAATACAACAAGAGCAAAGGCTAGCAAAAGTGATTACCTCAGTGGGAACATAAGTAGGTTCTTTTGGAATGTCACCTAAGTTCAAACTTGGGACACATCTCAGTGCTTCAGGAGGGTCAGGGGTTTCTTGTTTCAATTTCAGCTCCTCTGTAGCACGCGCTAGCTCTGCAAGATCTTCTTCTGTCATACTCGCTTTAACCTTTTCCAAGATATTTTTCTCTTCCACTTCCTCTTGAGTAGCTTTTTCGGGATCAGGCTGACAAAACTAATTTTTAGCACAAAATCTAAGAAACAGTAAATTGCAATGAAAAACTTGTAAAAGAAGCATACCTGCATCTCTATGGTAACACGATGCGAGTTGTTTAAAATAAACTGCTCTATCAGTGGGGAAAAGACAGCCTTCGATCCCTCCTTAGCTATTCTGGTTTTCAAGGCCTTCAATGGTTCTGTATACTTTAATGGCTCAAAAGGATCCATATCGTATATCCATTTTGCCTAAAACAGCCAATAATAAAATAAGGACTGATCCCTAAATAGACAGAAACGTAAACATAAAATGCATATAAACTTACAATAGATTGGAGCATAAGTGATAAACCACGAGGGAAAGATCCTGTGTTGTTTTCCCTCAGAGAAAACTCAATTGTATTCATGGATGCCTCCACAGCATCATTATCAAACCCTTCTTCTGCCAACTTTTTCAGAGTAGCCATGATTAACTCTTCAACCTTTTGAACATTATCTTCGGACACACCTTTCATACCAATACTGAACTGGGGTTGCAAGAGTTCGTCTGACATCCCACTACTGACAAGAGCTTCTCCTAAACCGCTCTCCAATAAGATTTTTCTTAGTGGTGAAGCAGGAGTCCCCAGCATAAGATGATCCAAGAACCCAAGTGCAAGTTGAGTTTGCAAGTCCAAGGGATTCTCAGACAATAGCCAGTTAACGCACAACATGTGCTTCTTTTTCAGGTCACCATCTCGGCCAGCAGGATATTTCTCAACCAGTCTGATAGGCTGAGAGAATAACTTTTGAGGTCTAATCTTCGAACTATCGCGAGATGGACTTGCTTCAAACATGTCCAAGTACTCTGCACATATAGGAGATAAGATGTACTTCAATATCGACATAGACAACAAACTCAAAATAATAAAAGGATTGTTTTTAATAAGACAAAAGGAGATATCACTCCTTACCACTCAAAACACGGAGGCGATGAACAGGATCATCATCTCCATAGAACCAGATTCTGGCATTGCTTGGGTGATAATACTGACGGTGGAACTCCTGATATTTTCCCATAACAAAATATATATATACTATGCATCAGAGGATACACATTCCATCACGCTCCTATAGCAGTATACTAGAATAATAATTTGACTTTAACAAACCTTAAATTCCTCGAATGTCAGCTTAGGGATATCCTTTGGATCACCTCCACTGTCAACACCATATGTATTTTCTGGGGATAAGGCCTAATAAAAGTGAAAACAGTAGTAAGTCATTTCATCAGAACCACTATACGGAGACGTTATGATATCAGATTATCTAACACTGTTTTTGGTATTAAGTGTCCACGCCGCATGTTCAAGAAAGATAGGTTTATAATTCAACTGGCTACATCTTTTAGTTGATTAATAAGGTCAAAACCAACATTTTTGTAAATTTCAGTTTCAGAATCTCTGGCAGTTCAAATCTAATAGAAATGCACAATACAAATATGGTATTGTAAAGAAAACCCAAAACTTGCCTGTTGAGCAATTCGCCCCAAAATGTTATCAGGTTGTGAATAGACACCTTTCATCTCATTAAAAACAACACCTGAAATCAAGATCACCGATGAGATAGGATGAGTGAGTATATATGAAGTAGCAAATAAACAAAAAGATAATATCAATACTAAGATACTATTAAGTAGAGGAAAGTAAATAAAACCTTTGTAAGATATGTCTTCTGAGGGATCATTAAGCTCATAGTGCCAGCCCTCTTGCTGAAAAGTGTGCACGTCATCCACACACTTGGGGAAGAAGACAGCATCCAAATATACATCGACAAGATTGTAAAAATCCTACATATGTAGCGATGTAATGTGATCAGAAAACACTTAATATAAATAAAAATATTAGAAAGAAAGAGGTTATCCCCTCCAGGACAACAAATGGAGGACTTTCTATATGGCTCATTTTACCTTTGTATTTGTGGACGCAACTGGGTAGCAGGTTCTATCAGGATATGTGAATGCATTTAGAAAAGTATGCAAACTTCCCTTGAGTAGTTCAACAAATGGCTCTTTGAGCGGGTACTTTCTTGACCCACATAGAACACTATGTTCCAGTATGTGCGGAATGCCAGTGGAATCCTTCCTGCAATAAAAACAAAACTGTGATTTATAAATCACGTCCAGTAAAAGTTTTGAAATCCTTAACTTAAGATTCCTTTGAAAAGGAGGTTGCCTTGTGGGGCCAATATCAACTGAATGTACAGTCTCGCTCATATCATCTCTGTTACAAGGCGTTGAGCAATCAATCTAACAAGTTATTGCCCACCAAAGCTTAGACGACTTTACAAGTACCAAAAACGTAGAGAAAACGAAATGACTTGCCCAAACAATTTATAGGACTAATCCAAAAATGACGACCATTGGTAATTTGTAATAAACTTGACCAATTCGATTAGTTAAATTTCAGGTACCAATTTAAATTGACTACCTAATAAACACTCAAGTCACCTTTATAAAAAGACAATGAGCTAAACTTACGGAGGAGTCCTGAAGACAACGCCAAACACCTTGTTCTCATCCTCATTTGACACAGACATCACCTCACAACCTGTTTTCTTGTGTTTGAAGAGAATCGCCTTTGATTTACACTCAGAGATGAATTCTTCCGACACTTTTTCGAATCCAAGCTTCTCAGCCTCATCTCGACCTACATCTGAATCCCAAGAAACAAAAAAAGGAAATCATACATTAGCTGAGATACCACATGGGCTCCCACTTTATTGAAGAGTAGACACAAAGCATGAGAAAAAAAGGCTCCACGCCTATCTAAAATTCAAAATTTATCTTAAAGCTAATTTCACCAAGGCACAAATCACAGAAGACATATCCGAATGTTCTTTAAGTAAAGGGGTTAAGTGTGAAATTTGTAATACAAAATCAGTACCTAAACAAGTCCATCAAAGAGATATAATTTGAAATCTACACTAAGAGAACAAATCATTCAACAATCAAACTTCAAACAGGAGAATAAAAAAGCATATCCGAAAAATCCCAACCAGGATAAAGTGGTGCGGGTTGTGTGGCGACGGCGCGAACAGAGAGACGAGAGAACTGCCCATTGACACTTCGAACAGCGGTGGATGGAACCCTCAAACCTCTTCGGAGGAATAAACGTCTTCCGGCGACTGAAGGAGAGGAAATCCGGCGAAGACTGCGACTGGGGGCACGAAGAGTGGCCGTGGAGGATGTGAGAGACATGTAAGAGCGAGGGAACTGACGAAAGAAGCGGAAGAATAGAGAGGCCGAGCTGCGCGAAGCTAAACAAGAGACTGTCCGGAGCATAGCTACCGGAAAAGAAAATTCCCCGGCGAAGACTGCTAGAGGCAATAAGGATTATGCAATAAGAAGTAAAATAAAAAAACCAAACGGCAAAGAAGAGTCAAGAGGTTTTATCTTTGTGTGTTTTTTTTTTTTTTTGCTTGTAGAGGAAAAAATATGTAAATAAAAATAAAAATGATCCTTCATTTCTTGTAGAACACACAAAATTATTGTAAAACAATATTCTCTATTTCATTAAAATGGCATTTTTTATTTTCCTGAATCCTCTGGTTAGGTTTAGTACTTAAATTTCTCTTTTTAAAGTCTTGACAAAAAAAAAGAGGTGCTGATTTGCAAGCAAGGAAACGTGGTTCTCATATAGCCAAATGTGTGTTTGAGTGTTGCTACTTGCTACTTTGCTATCATCCAAATTATATAATGACCAGAAAAATATCTTAAATTTTTCCTCCTTTTGTTGATTTTTTTTTTCTCAAAAAAAAAATGATCAGTGTACGAATAACATTTTTTTTTTTTTTTTTGTCATCACAGTGTACGAGTAACATTGGACATGTTTTTTTGGGTATTTAATTCAGGTAAATAAATAATATTGATTGAATTTAAACAAAATTCATAATTTTTAATCCAACTCACACAAAATATTTTTACTCAAGAAAACCAGTTTGTTAAAGGCCCAAGGTTAGGTCTGACAGAGTGTGAAAGGCCCAAAGTGGATCATTTTTCTCTATTAGATCACTAGAACTAGAAGCTTCTCTATTATCCACGTGACGTGTCACGTGACCACGACTCTACACGTTCTGTGTTGGCAGAGCCTCTCTTCCGGTCAGCGGGTTACCTTATCGTCAGACGACGCAACATTCAGAAATAGGCAAAATCGCTGTTAAAGGCTCTTCTTCAAAGACCAAATTCCCGAAATTTTCTCCTCTGAGGAATCCAGTAAACACCATATACTGTATGCCATGATTCTAGCTTCACTCTACTTCTTCTAGGGTTCGTCTTCTGGAGCTGTTGAGCAATGCCACTGGCTTACACATTTCCGGTTCTCCCTTCTTCTTGTCTGCTTTGCGGAATCTCTAATCGCGGCACCAGCTTCGTCGTAGATCGCCCGGAGCTTCAGATCTCAGGTTGCCTCGTCGTGCGTTCTGATTCCGGTGAATTCGTTGCTTCTGGTTTATCTTTGCGGCAGTTCCAGCGGGAAGGGCGGAGGAGGTTGAACGCTGCGGGTGGTGGTGGTGGTGTCCATGTCGTGGACAATGCGCCGTCTCGTACTTCTTCCCTCGCTGCCTCTACCTCCACAATCGAAATCCCGGTTACCTGTTACCAGGTATTATGCTCTCAGTGGCTTAGTCAGAATCCCTGTGTGTGTATACGATCTCTTGCGATTTGGTACTTTACTTCTCGCTGAAATGCAAGTGGAACTTGTATTTTTTTATTTTCCTTCTAAATTTGGTTGTGATAGATACGTTTTTTGGGAATTAAGTCTCTCGTGTGTGAAACAGTTGGATGTTTTGATTTGGCGAGTTTCAGAATACGTAGCAATTTTATATTGTATAATAGTTCATCTCTGCAATAAGAGTGTCTCAAAAAGAAACGTAGCGTTTTTGTTTGATAAAAAATATTTCAGGATCATATATTTTACTGTTAATGGTATTGAATTTGCAGCTTATTGGAGTTTCTGATCAAGCTGAGAAAGACGAGGTTGTGAAGTCGGTTCTAAATTTGAAAAAAGCTGATGCTGAAGAGGGTTATACAATGGAAGCTGCTATAGCTCGCCAGGTTAAGACCTATACAGACCTTTATCCTGTTTCCAAGTGCTCCATAGAATCTGACCAATTTAGCACTAGACTTGGAAAGGGAATGTGGCTTCACTTTCTTGATGCGTTGTTATTAATGATTCTAATTTGCAGGATCTTCTCATGGATGTTAGGGATAAACTCCTTTTTGAACCAGAATATGCTGGTAACCTAAAAGAAAAGATTGCTCCTAGATCTCCTCTCAGAATTCCGTGGGCATGGTTACCTGGTGCTCTATGCCTTCTTCAAGAGGTACTACTACTGAGCTGTAACTGGATTTTGTCCCTGCGAATGTTTGTCTTCTAAATGCAATTTTGTCTTTTCTCTTACGAAACTTAAGGGGAAATTTGATTTATCTTAATTTTTTGGTATTAGCTTTCTTTTAATCTTAAGATAAAAGGATATTTAGATAGCAGATAAAGCGTTGATGTGAGCTACTATGTTTCAGGTTGGACAAGAAAAACTTGTGCTGGATATTGGCCGGGCTGCTCTCAGGAACCTTGATTCGAAGCCATATATTCATGATATATTCTTATCTATGGCACTTGCTGAGGTAAAATCAAATGACCTAGTAATGGGAACTACTGACCAGCTTTCACTAATCTCTGCTTCTTGTTTCTCTAATATGTTTTTTTTTTCCATGAAGTGTGCAATTGCCAAGGCTGCTTTCGAGGCTAACAAGGTCTCTCTAGGATTTGAAGCTCTTGCTCGTGCCCAATGTTTTCTGAAGAGTAAAGTTACCCTTGGGAAACTTGCATTGTTAACTCAGGTAATAGATTCTATTGTCTTGCATCAGTACATATAAAGCTTCTTTGTGTTTACCTTTTGTTCTGTTCCCGCTTGAATGTGATTATGTGAAAAGTGCAAGATCATGCCATACTGTAAATCAAATTATGTTAGGTTCATATTTTCCAATGGCATAATTTATCAGCATATTGGGTTTTAAGAGATTTAAATTGAAATTCTCAGATTGAGGAGTCACTGGAGGAGCTTGCACCACCATGCACATTGGATCTACTGGGCCTGCCTCGCACGCCAGAAAATGCAGAGAGGAGACGAGGTGCAATTTCAGCACTACGCGAACTGCTCAGACAGGGCTTAAGTGTTGAAGCTTCATGTCAAATCCAAGACTGGCCATGCTTTTTGAGTCAGGCAATTAGCAGGTTATTGGCTACAGAGATTGTTGATCTTCTTCCATGGGATGACTTAGCCATAACACGGAAAAATAAAAAATCACTTGAATCCCACAATCAAAGAGTGGTAATTGATTTTAGCTGCTTCTACATGGTGTTGCTTGCTCATATCGCTGTTGGATTTTCAGGCAAGCAAAATGATACGGTATATCTCGTTTTCTTTCTTTTTGTTAAATTTAAACCAAGGGGTACATGTCGTTTCTATTCTATCTGCTTTTAGGGCATAACATTCAGTATGCTTGTGTAGATTAATAAAGCAAAAATTATATGCGAATGTCTCATAACATCAGAAGGTGTTGATCTGAAATTTGAGGAAGCTTTTTGCTCATTTCTTTTAAAACAGGTATTTTTCCTCTTGCTTTCTTTATTCTTTTTCCCTTTTAACAATGCTATTGCTTCTTATTTACTTCAAGTTCATTTGCTTCGAAAGATCCATGCGTTGTTCATTTAGTTAAGTGCTACTGGACCTACATGTTGGATAGCACAGGGTTCCGAGGCAGAAGCCCTTGAAAAACTTAAGCAGCTGGAATCAAATTCAGATTCTGCCGTCCGTAATTCAATCCTGGGGAAGGAGTCGAGAAGTGCTTCTGCTACTCCATCATTGGTAATCCTTATGACTTATGCCAAAAATTTGTGTCCATTTGTTGCTAGGACTAGAGAAAACATCATTCTTCTACGTGTGGTTCGCCCTGCTATGATTGATGTAAATGACATTATCAACTTTACTGGAATATGAGTGAGGTTGAGCTGTGGTATAGGCACTAATTGAAAAAAAGGAAACCAATAGTTGAGTGGATGTTAGTCAAAGTCATAGAATATGCTTTTACAGCATTGTGTATGCCCGCCGCTGACCTCATTTTTTGGTTGGTTGTGCATTCGCTTAATCTTCAATATTTGTTTGAGTAATGCATTATGCAAGTATGTTCATCTCTTCTCCAGCGCTGATTTGTTTTCAATAAGATTGGCATTGACCTTTATACATACTACCTAATAAAATTGACCAGGAAGCTTGGCTAACGGAGTCTGTGCTTGCTAACTTTCCAGACACAAGGGGTTGTTCTCCATCTTTGGTAAGAGTCAGATTCACTGGAACATTCTGTGTAGCAGTTTTCTAATTAAGCAGAAAGATAATTTATATATACAACTTTCTGCAGGCCAATTTTTTTCGGGCTGAAAAGAAATATCCAGAGAACAAGAAAATAGGATCACCTTTGATCATTAATCACAAGACGAACCAAAGACCACTTTCCAATACGCAGTTTGTGAATTCGTCACAACATCTTTATACAGCTGTCGAGCAGTTGACTCCATCAGAATTGCAGAGCCCAGTTATATCAGCAACAAATATTGATGAAAGCGGTGCCAGTATGCCATCAGTCCAACTTAAGAGGAACCTTGGTGTAAAACAAAATAAAATATGGGATGATTGGCTCACTCAAAGTAGTCTGATCGGAAGGGTATCTGTTGCTGCTTTATTGGGTTGCACTGTGTTCTTCTCTCTAAAACTAATAGGCATTAGGCCTGGTAGACTACAGAGTCCGCCTATATGGGTTTCTGCAAGGCCGCATTCAGAATCAGATTCTATCCTGTCTAAAACAGCGTCTGGGAGTTTCAGAAGAAACCTTGGTTCTGTGAATAGAAATGGTATCGTAGGCAACATCAAAGTGCTCTTCAACATGTTAAAGATGAATCATGGTGAACATTCAGATGCCTTGTATCTGAAAAGCTCTGGTCTATCAGCTACATCATTGTCTCATTCCGCATCAGAAGTGCATAAGAGACCTATGGTTACAGAAGACGCCGAAGAGCTTGTGAGACAGTGGGAAAATATTAAGGCTGAAGCTCTTGGACCAACGCACCAAGTTTATAGCCTATCCGAAGTCCTTGATGGATCTATGCTTGTCCAGGTTACTATTTTGGTACATCTACTCTATTTTTTTAAGTAGAATCAATAGTTCAAACCCTGGTTAGGTATCCCATTTCAGAAACATTAGGTTGCATTTTGAACCCTGGTTTAGCTTTAAGAGTGCTTAATATAGACCAGAGATCAAATCTTGATTTAGGTGAAAAAGATATCCCTTGGCCTCTAGGTAAAATTTGAGTTGCACAAGATCAGATTCTACATTGTTGTATCCATGCAAGTGACAAACGTTTATTTAGGGTTTGCTGATTTTGTTTTCTGGGGGTAACATGTAACTTGCAGTGGCAAACGTTGGCAGAAACAGCAAAAGCTAAATCTTGTTATTGGAGATTCGTTTTGCTGCATCTAGAGATTTTGAGAGCACACATTTTCGAAGATGGTATCGCCGGTGAGACTGCAGAAATCGAGGCCCTTCTGGAGGAAGCAGCAGAATTAGTTGATGAATCGCAGCCCCAAAACGCAAAATATTACAGGTAAAGACATTTTGCCTTGGGTTTACTTTTGGACTGATGAGCTCTTATCGTCTTCACTGATGCCGAGTCTTGTATATTTCCTGTAGCACTTACAAGATCCGCTATACGCTGAAGAAGCAAGAAGATGGATCATGGAAATTCTGCGAAAGTGATATTCAAATACAGAAATGACAATACCCCTCCCCAAAAAAGCTCATTATCTAACTATAAGTTGTAGCCTCAACTGGGATCATTTTAACCTTTGTTCTGGTTTAGTTGACAGTATAGGAAAGTCGTAGGTTTGTTTCTTTATTCCTTAGCAACCCAAAGCCCAAAGGATTTGTCTTCGTAGGTTCATTTGATTTGAATGTGTTTGTGGATAGACAGACACTTTTTCAGTTTTCTAATGTAAAAAGCGTTACCGCTCAAATCATATGTTTTCTTTAAAAATATTTTTTAAAATTATTAATCTGAAAGTAATTGTTAATTATGGAGGGGGAAGATAGTCTTTAAATGAATGAAGCCCATACTCTTATTACTTCACGTATCACGATGTAGTGCTTACTCAGATCTTCCACTGTTGATAATTTGAAATTTTCAATTTGATTGATTAGACAAAATGATTAAAAACAAAAAGTGAAAATGGAGAAGTAGAAAAATATGAATACTAGTAGCGGTGAAGGAGAAACCAACGGTCACTCAAGAGCATTCAAGAGTCATAAACACTTTGATCTTTTTTTCTTCTCTCCCCCTTCGTTTCTCTCCATCTCTGTTTCGGAACCCTAAGAAAATGGTGGAATCGGAGTTAAGCTATGAGCAGATTCGTTTGAAAAGGGTGGAAGAGAACAAGAAGAGGATGGGGGAGCTTAATCTCAACAAGCTCGCTCAATCTCTTCGCGTCTCTTCTTCTCCTAAGCCCTCTCCTGTAACTTTTTCTATTCTCTTCTCTTCTCATTTCTTCTGTTTCTTCTTTTTGTTTTTTTTTTTTTTTAAATTAAATGAAATGAAACCCATTTTGTACGGAAATGTAGTCAAAGACAAGGACGATGCGTATGCCAGTGGATTTCTCGGAGGTCAGGAGATCAAGCCGTGCCAAGGGTCCACCTCCAAGTTACAAAGAGGTTTTGCCTACCAATACCATTATCTTTGTATGAGTTTCTTGAAGAACTTGTGGGTTTGATTAGTAAATGCTTAATCTTTTGTGGATTTTTCCTTAGTAGGATTGAGATAGATAATGAGTTTGTTTTTGGAATCATCAGATCTTGTGGTTTTAGTTTGAGAGAATGAGAAAATCTTGAAAGATAATCCTACTTTGCTTGAGTTGTTTCTCTGTTCTCATTTATCAAAGCTATTGTGATCCTTATTCGCAGTTTGGACTAGAACCACTGGAGAGGCCAAGAAGGTTGACCAATGCACCACACTCTATATATATATCCAACATAACTTTGATGTAAGTTTTATAACTTTTCAATATACGTTATTTTTGTTTGGCTTTGCAGGAGCTATCAAAGAAGAGATCTGCTGAACAGGGTATATGCTTCGGACGAGGCACGAGTGTATGCAGTCGACAGGGCTGAGAAGCTCCAGTCAAGCTTAGATCCAGAATTCCCAAGCTTTGTCAAACCAATGCTTCAATCACACGTGACTGGAGGTTTTTGGTTGGTAGGTGAAGAAACTTGAATGTTAAATGTATCAAAGACTGTCTGAAACTTATCCCCCAATAGTAAGTCTTTTATCTGTTATCGTAAACACAGGGCTTGCCGCTTCGTTTTTGCAAGACACATCTACCAAAACGTGATGAATGGATGACTTTGGTTGACGAGGAAGATGAGGAATTTGTGGCGAAATACCTCGTTGAGAAGAACGGTCTTAGCGGAGGCTGGAGAGGTTTCTCCATTGATCATCAGTTAGTCGATGGTGATGCTGTCGTGTTTCACCTTATCACCCCAACAACGTTCAAGGTAAACGGTGTCTTTAATTACCTTGATTTGTTGAAACATAGGCTAGTAGACACTTTTAGCATGAATTTTGAAACATATTGCTTGTTCAGGTGTATATCATCAGGGTAAATGATGATGGAAACAATGATTCGGATGTGAATGAAGAAGATGAAGAGGATGATATTGATATAAACAAGAAAGAAAAGGAGCATGTTTCAGAAGCTAGACAGTTGAGAAGCAGTGGTAAAAGGAAAAGAGGAGGTAATAGTGTCTCGAATCTCATGTTAACTCTTAATAATTAACTTGATAATATTGATTAGATAAAACTATGTTGTGATTGATTTATGCAGGAAGAAAGTAGAGTTTGAAGGTTGGATTGTGAACTCAATGGAAGGAGTAGGAAAAGAACTGAAACTAACAAGGTTTTGTAATGGAGACAAACATGTTTATTTTATTTTATTTTGTTGGTGTCATGTAATGGAGACAAACATGGAACGTTACGGCTGATATTATTTTGGTAACTAGCTACGTTGATTTGATATGATAGATATTATATAATTTATGATTTGGATAAGGAAAGAGAAATCAAAACTTGAAGAAGAGTATTGAAAGTGAAGTCGCACCGAACCGAAAACAAATGGACTTAACCATATTGATATCTATAGATTTCAAACCGAACTGACTTTTATAATTATCTAAATTGGTAGATTAACAAATAAACTCAAACAGAACTCCACTTTTGTGAGACCAAAACAAACTAATTACAACTTATCCTTTCAAAACAATTAAATACATAATAAAATCATATATCTCCCATATACTATATAGGTATTAATATATAAACAAAAAATAGTCTTTATAAGAAACCAAAATATAATTGAATGGATTAAAAATATACTAGAAAGTTCCTTCTTAAATCCAACATACTTCTTAAATCCAACATACTTTTCAAAAATCTAAAAATAATTATAACCAAAATATTAAACATATCGACATTGTACATAAGTTTATAACTATTATTATCCACAAGATTTGATATAAAAATTGTTCTAATTCGATCAGGAAAATCGGAATATTTAAAATAGATATATAATCGGATTTGGAAAATGTTTTCTATAATCAGGATAACCTAACGAGATTTGTTGGTAATTAAAAAACAAAGTAAGATTGAGAACCGGGTTTATGTATCATCAATTTATCACTGATGAATGATGATGTACCACCGCCAACACAAACCGGTACGGTTATTAGAAAAAAAAAAACGAGAAAGAGATAGGGAGAGAAGAGACGAAACTGATTCCACAACACGGAAAAGCAAAAACCGTAGATAGAGACGACGAAAGTCTCTTTAATACTCAAAAAAAACTTGTTGCTTCCTTCTCTTATTCTCTCCTCCGCAATCACAGAGGACAACTTCATGTCACCATCCCCTCACAAACCCTAAAATTCCCAATCAAATCCCAAATTAAAGGCGCAGGGGAACAAAAGAAGATGGTGTTTACGTGGAACAACATTGCTAAATCCGCGGAGCAAGTTTTTTCGAGGTGGGCGGTGAAGAGGGTTGTCAAATTCTTGTTGAAGAAGAAATTGGGTAAACTCATACTTGGTGACATCGACCTTGATCAGCTCGATATTCAGCTTCGTGATGGCACAATTCAGCTCTGCGATCTTGCTATCAACGTTGACTATTTGAATGACAAGGTTTTTGCCTCTTCTCTCCTCTCTTCTTCTTTTTATATTATAGGAACTCTTGGGGCCAACTGTGTTAGTTGTTTTGGTTCTGAAAGTGTGTTTTAGTTGTTGCTCTGAACTTCTCTATCAGTTCAATCCAGGGAGCTTTAGTTCATTGGTAGTGGTCTAATTCCTGATGAACTAGAGGTCCTTCTCTGTTGATGATTGCAAAAGTACTGTTTTGAACGAATACATAGGGTGGTAGCTCCGTTATTTTGGTTTGTGATAGGTAATTTTGTAATCCTCAGGAAGGTCCTTGAATATAGAGGTTCATCTATGGAGGCCAAAGCTTTCAATTTTGTTTCAAATCCATGTTTTTAAAAGTAAATTCAATGTTTTTTTTTATGCCTACTTTGATTCTGACAGTCCCATCCCCATATCATCTTATTTCTTTGAAATTAGTTTGATGCTCCGCTGCTCATAAAGGAAGGTTCGATTGGATCTTTGTTAGTTAAAATTCGTTGGGAGACCAATGGTTGTCAAGTTGAGGTTGATGAGCTTGAGCTTGTTCTCGCACCACGTTTGGAAAGTAATGCATCATCTTCAAATGAAGCCACCACCTCTGCCTCTACCCGAGAAGATTCTCATAATGTTCGTCTCGAATTAGGAAAACATGACAATGAGATGTTGGTGAACGCTGCCAAATCTGCGTCTATCGATGTACATGAAGGCGTTAAGACGGTTGCAAAGATAGTGAAATGGTTTCTTACAAGTTTTCATGCCAAAATTAAGAATCTGATAATAGCATTTGATCCCGATTTTGGCACAGATCGGAATGAAGCTGGTCCTAGGCCAACACTGGTACTTAGAATGACAGAAATAGACTGTGGAATTTCAGAGGATCATGTTTCGGCTGATGAAGTTTCTCATGACAATATACTCGGTATTAATCGACTTGCAAACTGTGTGAAGTTTCAAGGAGCTGTTGTAGAGCTTTTAAATATGCATGATGATGATGATGACGACAAAACTTGTGGTAAAAAATCATCAAGTGGTGTCACTTTAATCATGACAGGCGAAGGAGGTGGCTTTTCAGGGAATTTGAATTTTAGTATACCCTGGAAGAATGGTTCTTTAGACATTCGCAAGGTGGATGCTGATATTTGTATTGATCCTGTTGAAGTACGAATTCAACCATCTACAATTAGATGGTTCTTACAATTGTGGAAGACTTTCACGAGTTTTGGATCAAACTGTTGCCCCTCAGTTCCTCATTCTGATTCAGCGACTGATTCACTTACAATACCTACTAATGTAATAGTAATGCCTCCAGCTACATTATCCTTGTCAGGTGGCCAAGAATTAGAGCCTGATACTACACCTGAATTACAGTTTATACCGGATTGGTTTCCATCTTCGTTCAGCAAGAAAGAAGTGGATGGAGAAGTAGATATCGGGGCAAGGTATAAAGGATGTCTCTGTTTGTTCAAAAAAATAAATAAAGGATGTCTCTAGCATAATATTTCGTTTTCACACGTCTTTCAAAGATATTTTATTTTCTTGCTTGACATGATTTTCCTCTTTCATCACAATCTGGATATGACTTTACCTTTAGGTTTTTTAAATTGAATTGTCGTATATGTGTTAATATCTTCTTGTTTCCTACAGTGTGGACCAGTTTTTTGAATGTTTTGATGCAATGAGGAGTTACCAATCAGCTTTTGGAAGCCAAGGAATGTGGAATTGGACATCTTCTGTCTTCACAGCAATCAATGCTGCATCTAGCCTCGCTTCTGGATCTTTGCTTCTTCCTTCTGGTAAGAATATTTTCTTGATTTTTTTTTAAATTGTGCATTGAGCGTATTGGTACTTATTGTCACCAAATCTATGCAAGCTTTATTATACCGGTGATAATCTTTTTTTGTAATCTTAGGTTATTTCTTGTTTTTTTCTATTACTGATACCCTATATACCATCAAGCTTTGTGCTTAAATCAATCCATTAGCTAGTGATGCCAAGCAGTGTAAGTCGTTATAGTATTAAACTATCTATGCTATTCTCATGAATATGCAGAACAACATGTTGAAACAAGTTGTAAAGTATCCTTTGCTGGAGTTTCGGTGGTATTATTTTTCCAAGATGAAGACAATTGGAAGGATGTTTCCATGCGGATTCACTACTTGGGTGCAGAACTCAGAGATATTTCTGTCTCTTTTCAGGTAATTGCTTTGATGACTTGTGTTTCCTCCCCTCACTAGTATCAACCACCGAGTTACTTAAAACATTCAATAAGGTCAACAGGTATGCCCTCATGATATGAGGCTAGAAGGAAAAGTGAAAAGCATGGAGATCGCCGATTATATTCAAGCTGGAAATGTTGTTGACACTGCTAATGCTGAATATCAGACTCGTTTGATTAAGGATTTACAAGCCAAGGTTCAGACTAGTCTTCCTCCCTTTGCCTCGTCTGATAGGCATGCTGACTCCGAAAGCTTACTCGAGATAGTTTCTGATGGATTCCTCTTTCGTAACAAGGGTGTTGCAGTCAAGACATTGTTGGTTATGGCTGCAGGAGGCAGTGGATTTCAGTTTATTGTCAGTTTCCAATCATCCAAATCCAGCCATAGAGTATCAAACTCATTCTCGTTGAGTTTACCACCTACCACATTCTGGTTGAACCTTAATTCAGTAGAAATGTTGGTAAATCTTTTCAGCAATATATCAGAATCTATCCCCATAACTAGTCATGAAAGGATTCAGGTGGCATCCTCTTCTAAATCAGATAATTTGCGAGGTAGTGTGTCAATCTGGAATGCTCGAGTTATTCTGTGTTTCCCTTTTGAGAGTAATTCAGAAAGGTTATGTAACTCGCTTGGTGAGCAATTTATTGTCGTCGACTTATCTTCCTCTCTGCCATCTGACAAGGAAAGGCGTAAAGAAGAAAGTCCAGGAGAAATGTATTTTACATCGGCTACTCGCTCTATATGCTTCAATGTTGGTGATGCTAGCATCTATTTGGTCACGTCTGACCGTAAAGATTCTGAACAAAATTCATGCCATAGGCCGGGTGAATTCTCTGCATATAATATTTTACATACCAACAATAGAACTAGGCACCAACTTTCAACCATTGGTATATTTTGGCAAGATCGACCTATTGGTAGTCCTTGGTTAGTAGAGAGAGCTAAGATGTTGGCTACGCAGGAAGAATCTATTCAGACAGGTAAATCTGGGGGGAACGGCCTTGAGTTTGCTGCTGTTGCTACGGCCAAAGATCAAGAAGACATCTACTCTCAAACCAGGAAAGAAATAATGTTGGCTTCTTCATTCTGCCTTTTTGTTCATTTGCTTCCACTTGCTATCCGTTTAGATAGTTGGCAATACAGCAAATTCTGTAATCTCGTAGAAGAGGCAAAAAATTGGCTATCACGTATGGCAGCCAATACAGCTGAGAAAACAGAGGAACCTGTTGTGTGTCAAACGTCTCTTGTTGTTGAATGTGATTCTATTGACATCTTGGTTAGGCCAGAACCACGAACGGACATTAAAAATCAGCTTCAGATTGAGCTTCCTGGATCATGGATTCAGCTCAACCTAAGGGTTCAGAAAGTAAATCTTATGTCTGTCTCAAATCTCGGTAGTATCTCTGGTGCTGATTTCTTTTGGTTAGCCCATGGGGAAGGTACATTATGGGGTTCTGTTACAGGTCTACCTGATCAGGAGTTTCTCTTACTCTCATGTAATAACTCTGCAATCAAGCGCGGTAATGGAGGAGGTTCAAACGCTTTGTCGTCAAGATTTGCTGGCTTAGATATTCTGCATTTACAAGAACCAGGAATTAGTCACGATTATTTAGCAGTATCTGCCAGGGGCTGTACGATCTCTGCCATAGGA